TTGAACTGGCGCTCAAAACTGGTTTTCAACCAGTGTCTTTGCCTGTTGCTAATGTCCATGTTGGAGAACTCCTTTTGGCTCAACATGGTACAGTGTCGTGTAGCGTCCGGAAAAGAAGTGTCAAATGAAATGTTGCCTGGTAACATTGAATTCCTCTGTGTAGCGTTGCCAATGTATGATGATTTGAATGCTGACGCGCTCAGAAAAATAACAATGAGGCGACGAAGTCCGCTGTAACTTGTCGGAATCCTTGTTTGCGAGAACGCTTGATCGGATATTATGCAGGTGAACAGTTTCTCCCCAGATGAGCGAGACTTCTGAGGAGAGCTCTTTTGTGCTGGTGTCGTCAATCGTCGCATAGGTTGCAGTCATCCCGGAACTAGTGTCCGGGATCGTTGCTCTTCCGAATACTGTCGGGACTTGCACTTTTGTTGTCCGACTTATCTTGCGTGTTGTCAAGAGCTCCATTTGCGATTGCCAATGGGGAGCCTTTTTTTACAGGTAACGATCGTTCCGCTTTCATTACGACCACTCTCCTCTCCTCGCTTCTTGTTGCAACCCTCAGGTAGTCTCCTCCACATGTCTCTATCTCCTTGAGTTCTGGCCAATATTCTCCTCACTCGGTCTAGCTCATCTCTCGTATCTGACAGGTCTTCCATTCTCTCGTTCGTTTTTACTTCTTCTTCTACTCTTGCTCTTTCTGGTGGTACTGCAGTTTTGAACTGTGCTAGACAAGGCAGACTCGCTACTCTTTTCCTGGTGAAAAGCTTGATATCATCTCTGCAAGCGGGCCTAGGCCTAGTTGAGAGAGGCATCTCTCCAGGCTGGTACGTTCTCGCAGTACCCAACCCAGGTTCATGCGCCATGTCGCTTTCAGAAAATTTTCCGGTGCTCCATCTCATGACACTTGAGGCTTGGGCGGTCCAACACTCCCTGCTCGCCCCAAGCTGCCGACCAAGACTTCTGGGCGGCGGTTCCTACGGTTGTCATACCCTAGGATTTTTGTCAGAGCATCCGTCAACATGACTACGTCTGGATCACCTTGAACGTAGTCTCTTTCAAGCAGTCGACGATAGAGCTGGTTTGTGACTGGGCCAAAATAGACCTCTTCCAAATCCAATGTTCGTCAAGATTGTCCATGACTCAGTTCGGTTTGATGATTTGAATGCTGACGCGCTCAGAAAAATAACACTGAGGCGACGAAGTCCGCTGTAACTTGTCGGAATCCTTGTTTGCGAAAACGCTTGATTGGATATTATGCAGGTGAACAGTTTCTCCACAGATGGGCGCATAAGTGAGTCTATTTCGAAAAGCATATCACCGTCGTTGATCGGAGAACGTACATAAGCTTCGGGACAAAAAAATTCTTGATGAGGAAAAAAGCTGTCTGTGCGGGAAGTTTGTAGGTACGACTGATCAGGGTTTTCAGCTTGCCGAGGCTGTCTATGAGCTCATTCCGGACAGCTGACTGGCCTAAACCTGCACCTAAAAGGGTAGTTTCTTGTGCAGGAACGCACTGATTGATGGGAAACTGGTGAAGGAATGTGCTCTCAATGTCGTGTTTATTACTTCTAAAAACTTTGACTTCACATTTCTGCTCGTTCAGTGAAAGGCCTAGTTTTTCAGCTTCTTCTCTGAAATGAAGGAGATCTTTAAGTACTACGCGCCAGGATTCACCCAAGGATACATCATCAAGGTAACCAGTCTTGAGCTCGCTGTTCAGACTAATAAGTAATGGGTGTAAAACCAGGCAGTTTTTGTTCTGTATTTTTCAGATACAAATTTTAATTAACTTTGTCACCAAAAAAAAAAAAATTTTCACCGAGAGATAAGACCTATCCCTACTGAAAAAAAAACACATTAGTAATTAAGACATATTAGCCTTGTTCCTTGAAGTGATCTCGTGGTCCGGGGATCCTTCAGAGCAGCCACGATTTTACTTTTCACTGCCTGTAACCAGTAAATTTGGGTCTGAAAAGCCATAAGGCGTCGTCAGCCCAATTTACCAAAAACTACAATGATTCGGCTTTGGCGGAGAAGGTGGAAAAATTGTAGAATTTAATCTTGACGCTAGTTTTTTTTCTTCTAGTTATAGATGTTGCGTTCCGTCGAACATTAGCGGACAAAATTCAGCTCAAATTCAAGGTTTTACACTAAAAAATGCTTGTTTTCAAGGTACATTTTTAACTACTCTTTCTTTGAATATCTGTAATTTTTTTAAATAGACCAAGATCAATAGGTTCATTTATACAGCACCAAAATTTAAAAACCTAATCGCAACGCCAAAAACTAACAAGCTATTTGCAACGCCGAAATTAAAAAATTGTTCACAGAGTCGAAATTTTTTTTCGAATTTAATTAACTGGTTTGAATATAATAAACTGCGGCAAATTTCCGACATCACAGACCAGTTTTCGTTCAAGTTCCGGGCTCCTCTGCGGCAAAACTGCTTAACCGCCTCGATGTGGTAAAAATTCTTGTTTTTGATGTCTCAGAATTAAGTGATAAGAGACCAATTTCAATTTTCATGAGATCGACTGGACTACTTATTCCTCAAAAACTGAATCAGAATCATCTTTACTCGAATTTATGGATGAAAACAGCTTTCAGCAACATGTTGATTTCCTCACCACAAACTCAAGCTTATTAGATTTCTTTATTACCTCAAAGGTTTTGAAGTTGAACAAACATGGCCGTTAAAGAATCTAGATATGTCAAACCACATTGCCGTAGAAGCCACAGTATCCGTTGAAAAAAAGTTTTTCTACGGAAATTAGACCGCGATACCTATTTCAGCTAAGGTAATGGGATTTCGAAAAACTTAACAATAATATTATTCAATCCGGTTTTCAACACTATTGCTGGTCTAATGTATCATTTCTCATTGAACAATGGTATCATTGGTTAAATGAAAAACTGAGAGAAACCATTCCTGTGAGAACAAAACACAGATGCTCACTTTTTCCCTGGATAAGATCTGAGACTTTGAGATTACTCAATCAATTTGAATCAAGTTCTCGAAAACTTGGCGGTAAGCATCCCAAGTGTCTTGCATCACCTATAATTTGTCGAAGATCCCCTCAAAATGACAAGATTGAATACGAGAAACGCCTAGCAGATGCCAGAAACACAAGAATTTTGTTTAAATCTTATAGTCTCTACCATCAACCTTGCGCTTTCGCAATGCGGAAGCCTCGACTGGCCCCAAGAAGGTTGAGTTATTTGCTATTTTTTGCTGAAAACTACATCGTGTCTTCTCAATAACAAATAAACCATAAATTTAAAACGAATTGTCTTATTAATGATTTTATATCGACAATTCCTTGACTATGGATGTGTGTTGAAACCTAGATATTAAAAAAGCAAGTGGTCTGGTTTACCTTCCACCTTTTTTATTCTATAAATGTGCTAAAACAATCTGTAACTCTTTTTTTCAATTATTTTACTAAATGAAACAATCTTCATCATATCCAGAAACATAGAAATATTCAATAATTTCTCTCATTCATAAAAAGCGTTAAAATTTAAGTAGAAAACTATTGACCAGTCTCTTTTTTATCAGTACCTTCAAAATAGTTGAGCGATTTTTATTTTTTATCACTGTATGATTTTTGCAAACCTTTTTTTCATAATTCTCAGTTTGATTTTAGGAAAAACGCTCCAGTTCACTTCAACTTTTAGCTTACTTACATGAAATTTATTCAGGATTTCAACAGGGGAAAGAGATAGATGTTATATATACAGACTCCGAGAAGGCTTTTGACAGAGTGGACCATGGAATTTTACATCAAAAATTTTCTAATTTTGGTGTCAGAGGGAAGCTATTAACCTTGTTAACTTCTTATTTTAGCGGTCGCAAACAAAATATCAAAGTTAGAATATCAAGGTTAAAATACAAAATATCAAGGTTAAAAGTGGATGATGCCAAAAACCAGCGTCTACTGGAGCGCGTCGAAACTTCAGAAGTTGCGCATCACAGCAGTACAAGAGAAATATAATAGAGGGTACAGGGTTTTTAGGAGCACACTTTACAAAATTTGAATTTTACATCTCTCTATTGAGGTCTTCCATTGTACTCGCAAGAGTTGCAAGATTTACTTCCAAATTTGATGGCACAATTCCTGGAAGTTTTTGAGGTATGACAGTTTTTGTGATTTTTTCAAAAATTTCAATTTTTTTCTCAAATGTTGAAGCTCCCAACCCAGTAGTTGGGGGCTGTCGAAAAACTCTCAGGGATTGCAATTCTTGCCTTGAAATTTCATTGCTCAAATTTTTGTAGTTGTTCAGATATGAAGTTTTTTGTAATTTTTTCTGAAAATTTTTACTGAAAACTTAAATTTGAAGTTTTTTTTAAAATTTCAAAAGGTTCTTATTTCGAGGTTTTATTTCCAATATCTGCGGTTTTTTATAGTTTGCCAAAAAGTCGAAGCACCAGAGGTGCGTTACATGTTAGTCTTTATTTATTCGCAAATCGGTTCGATCGATGTCTGGCACGCGATCCAAATTTTCCAGTTGCTAGTAGACTACCTTATCAAGAGTCGATTATTCTTTCCTATATATCCCCAGCAAAATGTAGTCCGAGCCCCCTCCAGCAATTGTAAACTTTCTAAAATAATTGGAAGGTCAGAAGTATCGAAGTAACCGAGGTTACAGTCAGGAGTCCCTTCATCACATTACAGTTAAAATCAAAATCCTAGCAATTATATTGAGAAAACAAACACCTGCACAGAATAAACCGGAGTTGAAAAAGATTGATCTGATATGAGTCTACGGGTTTATCAGATACTTATACTGTGATATCGGTATAATTGTGATATCAAGGTGATTTCGCTAAAAGTTTCAAGCCGGGTTATATAATGGGAAAGAACCGGAACATTTCCAGGTTTTTTGCTGTAATGTTGCTGACAAGGAAACAGAATTTTGAAGGCTTTTAATTTTGTACCTCAGCTGATAATCACGTATTAGGAATGTCCAGCATTTTTGTAGAATGAAGTTTTTTTTAGTTCGATATGGCTGAAGCTGGTTCAGAAGATAAAAAGTCAGCGGCTAATTGGAGCGATTTGGAATTACGTGATGCCCCAGATTTTCCTGGAAAAGAACACTTGGCGGCGTTCGCTAGAATGGAAGTAGTCTTCGATAAGCTGAAGATACTCCAGTTTGAGGCTCAACTGATGCCGACATTTAAAAGGATGGGATATAAAGCTATCACGAGGTTTATAGTAATTACCTATTTCCAATTTCAGCTCCCAATCCCTGTCTCAATAAATGTAGTCAGTCTGCCTTTTTTTGTATTTGCTTTACGTTTAATAGAAATTTTATTTATTGCTGCAGTTTTCTGAAATCTCAAATTGGGTTAAGTTTATCAAAAAAGTGACAATCATAAATTGATTCATAAATTCAAAGTTTTAAGGGCATCTATTTTTTTTTCGTTGAATTTCGAAATTTGAGATTTTTTCTATTGGCAATGTTTTGTAATTAGCTCTATCCAATTATAGCTGCCCAGCCCTAGTATAGAAAAATAGTCAAATGATTTGTTGTCAATGCATTTCGAACGTTAATATATTTATGTGGTATTCTTACTATTTAGCCTTAGAACCAAGTTTCCTAATTTCTTAGCAATTGAAACGAGAGCATTTTATCACGTTTAAGCAGTCGACATCTTAACACGTTCATTTATTTATCTGTTATTAAGCGGTTAGTGAGCGATGCATTTGCATGTTTGATTATTATCATCTCCGAAAGTGTTTTTTGTAGCTTTGTCAAACTTCACTCTTTCGAGAAATGTTCCTTCCATTCACTTAATGAAAGAAACATGCTAAGAAGATGAGGCTCTCTTTTTTGATATATATAAGATGGCGGATTTTTTCTTTATTCTCGAAAAAAGGTTAAAACTTTTATCAAGTTAAATTTTTTTCAGAAAATTATGTCCGTTAAAATTTTTCTTTCAATTTTTGAGTCATAGGCTTTTTTCCAGATACTTCGTCAAGTTCAAGTTTTACTACTAATAATTAGTTATTTAACAAACATAAATGTTCTGTTACTGAAGATAGCTAATTTATCTTTTACGCATAGCTACATCTTACTATTTCTTAATTAGGCTATTTTTTGTCCATGAATCCACACTGCCCTGATCGAATGGCATGGAAAAACGTGTTATCCTCCATTTAATAGCTTGAATGTTATTCAGAACGCCCTCATCTGAACCATTCCTTACGCGCTTTCCATTAAACGCATTAGTAGTAGTATCTATTATATATTTAAATGTGGGCTTCACTATCTCGCCATGTTTAAGCTTTTTCAACGTATTATTTCTGCATGTTTAACAAAAGAATTTTTTCACGTTTAAGTTTTATCCTATATTGCAATGGTTACGGTTTTTTTTTTCGATTTTCCAGTTTAAATTCAGTGTTTATTTCATCAAGTTTGAAATTAGCAACCCAATAGTAGGATATTGTCAGAGTTTTCCCAGGTTTTGCAATTTTGGCCTCCATATATGAATAACCAAATCCTTTTAGTTTACGAGATATGCAATTTTCGAGATTTTTCAAAAAATTTTGGAAAGTTCAATTAAAAAAGTTGGGTGCTATCAAGGTACTCTCAGGGGTTGCGAATCTTGCCTCAAATTCTCACTTCTCGAATGCTTGTAGCTTTCGAGATATGACGTTTTTTATTATTTTCAGAATTTTTCAAAAACTTGGATTTTAAAAAATTCCAAATTGTTGAAGATATCAATCCTGTTGTTGGATATCGTGAGGGTACTCTCAGAGGGTTGCGAATTTTGCCTCTGATTATGGCTGCTCAAATCCTTTAGTTTTCAGAGAAGTTAGATATGATAAGTTTCACAAAATTGAAATTACCATCTCTGTAGTGAGACTCTGTCAGGTTACTCTCAGGAGTTGCGAATTTCGCCGCCAAATGTGACTGCTCAAATCCTTGCATATTTTCAGATGTGGCGTTTTTTTGTGATTTTTTCAAAAAAACTTGTATGTTAACAAATTCCAGTCTTTGAACATCTCAGTCCTGTTATTGGAATCTGTGAGGGTACTCTCAGGGGGTTGCGAATCTTGCTTCTGAATATGGCTGCTCAAGTTTTTGTAGTTTCCCAGATATGACGTTTTTTCAAAATTTTTCAGAAAATTAGGTATAAAAAATTCTCAAATTTTGAAATTATCATGTCTGTAGTGAGGCTCTGTCAGGGAACTCTCAGGAGTTGCAAATTTTGCCTCCAAATAGGATTGCTCAAAGCCTTGCATATTTTCAGATGTGGCGTTTTTTTGTGATTTTTTCAAAAAAAATTTCATGAAAATTAAATAAATTTTTATTTCAAAGTTGGAAATTTCTAACTTGTGGTTGCGGGGGGCGGGGGCTTGTCAGAGTAATCTCAGGGTTGCAAATTTTTCCTGCAATTAGGAATGCCCAAATCATGTTTGTTTAAAAGATACCAAAATTTTTGTGATTTTTTTGGGAAATTTTCAGAAAACTCAAATTACAAAATATTTCGTTCAACTGAAATTCCCAAACCTGTAGTTGTACACTTTCAAAGATTGCGAATATTGCCTTCAAAAAAGACCGCTCAAGTTTTGGTAGTTTTCGAGATGTGATTTTTTTTGGTTTTCAAAAAAAATACTTTTTTTTACAAAATGTAAAGATGAAGCTTCTCAAAATTTGAATTTCCCAACGTTGTAGTTGGGTACTGTAAGAGTACTTTAAGGAGTTGCAAATCTTGCATCCAAATGCGACTGCTCAATTGCTTTCAGTTTCTCGGATATGACGTTTCTTATTTCATTATAAACTTAGATATAAAAAAAATGTCATAAATTTTTATTTTTTTTCAAAATTTGAATTAAAAAAACGAATGAAAAACTTAACAAAAGTTGAAGTTACTCTCAGGAGTTGCAAATGTTGCGGCCAAATGCGACTGCTCAATTGCTTTCAGTTTCCCAGATGTGATGTTTCTTAGTTCATTTTAAATTTTTCGAAGAACTTATATAAAACTTCACAAAATTTTATGGTTATTCAAAAATTTTTAAATAAAAAACGTGAATAAAAACTTTGCAAAATTTGTTATTACGAACCCTATAATTAGGTGCTATCAGAGTACACTCAAAGAATAGTTTTTTGAGTGATTGAAAATTCGAAGCACCGGAGGTGCGTTACACGCTAGTTGTCTATGAATGTAATGAAGACGGATATATTTGGCTGTGATCGATTTTGTTTTCAATTCAATTTCATTTGCTAAATGGAAAGCAAATTACGCTCTACAGTATCGAAAATTTAAATAGCGCAATAAAGCGTGAATAACTTTGTGTTTGGAAAGTTGTCGTAATTTTTAGATTTACTAGCCGAATTTGAAAAATTACTTCACGTCCCAGTTTTTTTTAATTAGATTAATTTTATGAAAAAAAATTGTCTATCATAAGATTAAAGAAAGTTAGAGAGCTTCAACTTGATATTTTTTGAAGTTCCAACGAAAGCTCAGAATTTTGACACATGGATATACTGAAAAAAAAAACATGAAAGTTTTTTGTATCGAATTTTTTTGTGTTGTAGTTTTTTGTTGGTTTTCGCATATCCGTCTGTACGTAGACAACTTTCAGGAGATGCGAGCTTAAGGTTAGCTGAATTGTGCCTAAAACTGTTTTGGGATTTGGATGTTATTAAAAAAAGTTCGGGATGCATAAAATTTTCGTGGTTTTAATTTTTTATATCGACACGTTGCTGTACTAGTATGTAAGTTTGCGAAGTAAGACTGAAAACATGAGGCTCTCTTTTTTTTTGATTTTCATCATGGCGGATTTTTTCACTATTCTTGAAAAAATGTCGCCATTTATCGATGGCGAAATCTCTCCTAATTTAGCTTATTTATGGGATAATTGAAACGTTTTTTTTTGCAGATTTAAGAGTTAATAGAATTGTTTCGATTTGTGTTTCAACTTGCGAGAAGAAGCATCTTGTAATGGGAACAAGACTTTTTCCCCAGTAAACAACTTTTCTCACTAATCTGTAGGAAAATGAACGTGCTGTTATTTAACTTAAGCAACTTGCAGGCCCTTTCGAAGTGGTCGAGCTGTTGTCTTTGCTCTGTACGGGCTGCTTGTCGGACCTTGCTTTTTTTATCATGAAATTGTAAATTTTCTGTCCGGGAAAAATTGAATTGTCCGGCTTTTGCTTGCCTGCTTTACTTTGTCGGCATGGTTGCCACATCGTGGATTTTGATTTTTTTGTGCTGTAAGAAATTGTCATCGTAGTTGCAAGTGCTGTTGAATTACTCTTCACTTTGTAAATTTACTAAACCTGACTTGGCAAATTTTTTCCTTGCTTTTTTGCCTAAATAGTTTTGTCTAATGTTTTACCGAGATGCTCAACTTTTGTTGTGTCGATTGAAGGTCAAGAAATGATTGTTTTAAAAAATATATAATTAGTTCAATGCTAGTGGTTGTTTTTATTGATTTTTTTTTCAAAAATCATTTTAAAAGATTAAGTTTTAACTATTTTCCCCCTTTGTTATTTCTGCCTCATTTTCTATTCGATAGCTTCAAAGCTATGTATTGCAATTGATGCAAAGCTCCGCCCCGCCTCCGTGGTGAACTAGATTTTGTCAAAGTGTATTTGTTAATTCATTGTTCAAAAGCAGTTGTTGCAGTTTCGAATGATGTTTCTGGCTTCAGGGACTTCTTCGCATGGAGTCACGAAGAAGAGAGCTCGCGTAGTCGTATAAACATGTTCTTCCCTTTCATCGCACTATGCCAATGGCTATTACACAAATGCGGCGACTCCGGTTTTATGAAAGAAGTTGACTTGGAGCGACAGGACCCAACGACTACGATAAAAGAATTGGGGAACTCGTTGCACGCTCTCAATTGTCGAATTCCAGAGGGTGACGAGAGGAAGCTGATCAGAGGCTATGGTCCAGAATGCGTACGAGTTCTGCATATTCTATGCGATGAAGCCATAAGCAAAACGAGAGCTCTCTGGAAGAAGGAGTAAGTTAATGTGAAGTTTGATTCTAATGCCATCTTGCAGAAAAAAACTGTAATGGTTTCAACGTTATTTATTATTAAGTTTGACTGCGAAACGGAATTAGAGCTACCATTTTGTTATATTTTAAGACCCGAGTATCCAGAAGTATTAGGCGACGGTGGTATTGGAGGCGACGATGATGATGCTGCGCTCGTCGAGGACGATAACTGCGAAGTAGTGGTTCGCGACGACGATAGTATTGAGGTAACTAATTAATACTAAAAGCGCATTCACATTTTCCCGTTTTTTCAAATGGCAACTATTGTATTTAATTGACAGGAAGAAAGTGACGAGAATGATGAAAACTATGTCGACCTTGAGACTGTGTCTGCCCAGCGAAACAGAGGAGGCTTCGGAGAAGTTACAGGAGCAGCAGGCTCAGATTATAGCTCTGGAGTAGGTGCAATGGGAGACGTTGGGGGTGCTGGATTGGAAATGGAGTGCGAGATTGACCCAAAGGACTGGCGTGAAGAAGTTGAACGAGTGCTTCCGTCTCTCAAGGTCACCGTGCGGGCAGATCACAAGGTGTGAGAATAGTTAATGACTCGCTTTTTTGTGAATTTTATGTTTGAATAAAGCCCTGCAATATGGGATATTTGGGATGCGCTCGTATGAGTCATGTTTTGAGCTGCTGTCTCTTTCTACAGGAATGAAAGAGCCCCTAGGACCAACATAGTGGAATTAAAGCCTAGTGCTACTAATGACGGTGTTTGTAGCTCATATGTGATCTCTTATATCATTTGCGAGAGCGAGTGACTAGTAATCAGGAACTAGACGACTAGGAACGTGAAAATCTTTCCCGGCCGGACCTTGTTTTCTTCCTCACCATGTATTTATGTATGTATGCCGTGCTTTGTTATGGAACCTCTACACCTTACTGCTCCCTTCCCATTTGGTCCAGATTTAAAGCACGCGTCTTTGGAACATAGTGTCTAGGGTTTGAGTCCCGGCCGGACCTTATTTTTCATTATGTGGAAGAAAGCTTTACTTTCGGACTATCGTTTGTCTGCTTATTTTTTGTCGGCTTACGGTCCAATGCAGGAAGGCCAGATATTGTAGTTATTAAGATATCGAACTTTTTAAACTTGCAAGGTAGGCTTTGCAAGGTATAAATAATGGCGCTGAGATGGCGTTAGAGAGGGATATGATGGTATTGTGTGTGTGATTAGGACTGGCGCTCACATATAGACCAGATGGAGAGCCACAAGAAGGCCATGGACAGTTCGAAGGAGACGTGTGAGTTGTTGGAGAAGCTGTCCAGGGACATCACGGAGACGCTGAACAAGATAGAGAGCAGGGAGAGTTATATGAACAGGGCCCTGGATGTGGACATCAACGAGTACTCCATGAAGAACGCGCAACTCACCGAGGTACGTCTTTCTATCATTATAGCCCCCCCCCCCCCCCGCCGACCCGGTCTAGTGACAAAACTTATAACCCACAAACACTCCGATTCTTCTATATGTAGAGGCTATAATAAGAAAGGGTACTAGTTTTCTTGTTTGGTCCCTTAAAAAGGATGTGGTCCCTGATAAAAAATAGAGGTACAGAATGTGGTTAATTCTAACAATAAGCATCTGAATTTATCCATGTTTTGTGCAAAACCGACCTAGTTAGTCTAGAGGGCGCGAATCCGGTTACCGACCCTAAGGCGTAGGTTGGAATCCCGTGCCGGCTTTTCGTTTTAGAAAAAAATTGGGACCAAACAAGTAAACTAGTACCATTAGAAAGACCGTCTGAGGTCAGTCCGGTCAGAAAGAGAGCACAACACAGGGCCTCTTGGTTCACAAGAGTCAAACATGATTATTACCAATGCAACCCTTTTGCGTCTTATTTGGAATCTTGCATACTTGATGTTTTAATTTTGGTGTCCTCTCGCGCTATCTTCATCAGTTGAGTTAAAAATAAAAGGAGACCAATCTGTAGCTATTTCAATTTCAATTGAAGTTTTAGATTTTTCTAGTAGAAGTTTGTTGCTGCTTGCTATCGCAGTTGTTCATTGTGTGCTGTGGTAAGTGAGTCGTGAGTATTGTGTGGGTCTGGTTTAGATCAAGGCCAAGTACAAGAAGGCGTCGGGCGGGATAGCGGAGAGGTCGCACACTCTCATGCAACTGACGGAGGAGTTAGACAGACTGAAGGTGGAGATGGAGCAGAGGGGGTCACTACTCTCCAACACAGGTACCACACCGCTTGACTTCTTTACTATCTTCACCTGCAAATTTTTGTTTGTAATACTATTTCAGTTTTTTGAAACCGAAGTCGCACAAGTTTGTGTTCAAATTTCGCGTTCAATTTAGCAGCATGTGTAATATCCACAACTTAAGCCCGTGTTTTATCCGCTTTTTTAAAAGACGTAGAGTTCATATTCAGCCTATTGGAGATGTTCTTGGAATTTTACAGATCGCGAAGAGCAGGTTCAACTCTGTACCTAGCTCAGTTCAATAATGTGCAAGAATTAGGGTTATGAAATTGAAATACAGATAATTGAAACGCCGTTTTAAGTTGCTGCTCCAGCCTAAAAATGAAATATTTGAAACTGGGCAAATTGTATCCGCTTGCTTCTCTGCTTAACTTATATAACAAATTTTATAGTTCCAGCGAATCAGTGTTTTGGCCTTAGAATTTTGAAGGGCAAGGGCTCCAAATTGTTTTCCTGAATATACATCCTAAGTGTGGAATTTTGTATCGTTTTTCTCCGGTAATCGTGAATCCTAGCAATTGAGCAATATATGGCGCGGCAGCTTGGTTTTTGGGTTCCGATATTTTTGTCATTTCTGGGTTCGATATTTTTGAATGTATTCCAGACGTCGGTTATTTTTTTAATTGCATTTTAAAATCATCTGGAACAGTTTTTATGAATCAGCATTGATTCTCTTCAATTAATGAGAGGACCAACCTACTAGCTGTTCAGTGGTAACGGAGTTTGTATTGGACTGCATGTATTCTCGAGGCTGGATAATATTGCCTTATAGTTAATTAACGAGCACGGTGAGGTCATGGTGGGCCTTGAAGCACGGACCTTACAATCTATAAGAGGTTCACTGGCATAATGATTTTCAGAGCCGCTGAAGAGCATCAAGAGTTCTATTCAGCAGATTAAAAGCGAGACAGTCCAGATGGATATGCGCATAGGGGTGCTGCAAAACATACTCCTTCATTCAAGCCTCATCGAATAAGCGAGCTACATATCAAACGGTTTCAGAAAATTGCATGTTTTGAAATCAGAGTATGCACCGCAAACATGTAGATGAAAGAGATAATGTTGAGCGGGCCTTGTGACATTGTACAGAGACTGGACATGATCTGATTGACGGAAGTTATTAATTCCCTTTAGCCCCGTTTTTCTTGTAAATATTGTCAGAGGAGTTGTTCATTAGTGCAATATGTAAGATGTATCATGTGTAAATAATTGCAAATTAATTTCAGAATTTGATTTGACTGTTTTTCTTAATATTTTGACAAGTTTTGACCACAATAGCTTCCAGTGGTTTTTATTAATGATATTGTAATCACGTCTCTTTGGGCTTCTACAGATTTCAGTAATCGTTGCCACCTTAGATTGGTAATGAACATAGTGTTCGGATATGTTTTTTTTTTCACGCAAAATCAGGTGCAACAAATAAACGTCTAAGGAGTTTGATGAATTTTTCTGTTTTTCTGTTCGATGAACGTAGTGAAGATTTTTAGTAGTGAAGAACATCGTGATTATTTTTTGAAATTTTTCTGGAATTTGCGTGCACATCAATTTTTTTAGACCTTTGAAAACGGGGACCATTTTTGTATTCGGAAAGGTAAACTCTACTTTAAAGCTATTTTTTTTGTTTTAGATGCGAAAGTTGATTTTTTTAAAAAAGAAGTCAGTGTTTTTCCTTGTGTTGATTGTTTCTTTTGCAATTTTCTGTTGGCTATGTTTTTCCTTGCAGAATCAGGTTTCATAATGAATCATCGAATGGTTCGAATGATATATCATATCAGAGTTCATTTAGTGGTGATTCGAGTGGCATGCAAAAAACAGGTTTGAACTTTGTTCATTTCAGTGTAATTTTGAGCGAATCAAACAAATCTAATTTCGAGAGTTTGTTATCAGAACTAAACGGTTTTACTTAACAAAAACTAATTTTGCAAGCTGCATTTAGTGCTCTCTTGGCAATTTTTTTCTAAATTAAGATAACTGCTGTCGATTATGCCTTATTAACTAGCTATATATGCCATATACTAGTCCTCTGATCAGAACACGCTCGCACAAGAATTGTCCCTTATTTAAAAAAAATTTACAGCTTTTTCTTTATGTGGTTGGGGCCGTGTTCTTTTTCCCGTCCGTCAGCAAACTGTACTAATTTGAAATATATAATGTCATTCATGCTAGTGAAATTGTTTTAAAAGAATTCATTCGTTGATAAAGCCATAATAAGTTTGTTGTTAGCCGAATAAAGTCCCTCAAGCACACTGCATAACAGCAAAAAAAGAAACAGAAAACATGTGGATTCTTTGAAAAAATGGTTGCATTTTAAAAAAAAAAATACGTGCACATCAATTTTTTAGACCATTGAAAACGGAGACAATTTTTGTATTCGGATGTTTTGTTTTGTTAAATTAAGAGTTGATGAACGTAGTGAAGGATCTCATATAGGTCTTCATGATTTTTTTTCCTACTTGTTTTGTATTTTTCGCGGTTGCCTTCTGATTTCTTTTGAAATTCAGTTCATTTCCTTTGTTGAAAGGAAAGGCAAACTCTACTTTCGAACATCAAAAGTGTAAAAGTTACAAAAAACGTGATTGGCCTCTAATTTCGAAAGTCACTTTTAATTCTCTGATTTCTCTGCGGAATAAAAACTTCACCTTCTTACGCAGTTTTTTTAAAAATCAAGTTGAGTTAAGTTTATCATAAAAAGTGTGAATCACAAAATGTTTGTAAAATTCCAAGAGCTTCTAGGCCATTTTTTGTTTTGAATTTCTGAAAATGAGTTTTTTTTGAAAAAAAAACAATTCACTTTTTCTGTTTCCTAGGGTTCATTGATTCTTTTTCAACTGTTTGTTGGCTATGATTTTTACCACGCAAAATCAGGTATCAAAATAAATTATCGGAGAAATGGTTCGAGTGATATATCATATCAGAGTCCTTTTAGTAGTCATTCCAGCGGCATATATATTTTAAAAGTTATCCCAGTGTTGATAAGAACCGGTTTAAAATTTTTCGGCGATTTTTGAGTGATTCAAGCAAGTCTAATTTCAAACGTTCATTATTACACTTGCGAGATTAAGTGTCTTCCCACTTGGCCTAGAGATAACGTGTTTGTCTTTGTACCCTCATGTCTGGGGTTTGAATCCCGGCCGTACTTTTTTCAGTATGAGTGAAAATCCAAGAAAATTTGAATTGTAGGACTTTGGTCTGTTTGCTATATTTGGTCGGCTTAGTTGCCGCATCTGAAAAACTTCTTGTGCTGTCAGCAGTTTTCATCGTAGATGCAATTGCTTTTGATTTAATCCTGTAATTTGTAAAGTTAATAGCCCTGACGTTGTATATTTTATTGGTTTTCCTTTGTTTTGTTCGCTGAAAAGCTTTTTTCGACCTTAATGGTTTCTTCTTATATTTTATCGGAATACTAACCTTATTTTGTGTTGCTTCAAAGTAAAAAAATGGGTGATTTTCTCTGAAACTTTCAGGTATTTTGTTTTGCAACAAGTCGGTAGACGCCCATTGAGCAGAAAACCAAAAAAATGCCTTAAGAAATGGTCATATAAAACTTTGAGCAATTAAGTTATATAAATTTGAAATCTTACTACTTAGTTGCTCAAAGTTTGTTGTGATTATTTTTTCTGGCATTTTTTTTTGGTTTTCTGGTCATTGGGCGTCTACCCACTTGCTAGCGTCTTAGTGGCCGCTCGGTAAACACTAAAAGCTTAAATAAAAATGTTTGTATTTGTTATTTGCTTCCCATTTTCTCTTCGCTAACTTGCAATGCTGCGCTTTCGTTGAATCGCAAGTGATGCGGAGCTCAGTTTTGCCTCCGTGTAAGAAAATTGGTGAACTAGGCTTAGAATTCCTGATTTTACCTAACGGAAACTGGTTTTGGAAGCTTCATTTAGCGCTTCTTTGGCAATGAAAGTTTCCTATAAAACTTGTTGATTATGCCTAATTTACTAACTTTTTATCCGTTATATTAGTTCTCTCATCACACCACGCACGCGAGTGGAAAAGAAATCTTTTTTGGAGTGATGGTTTGTTTTTTGGCATCAAACAATTCAGTACAGGAACCTTCGAGAAATTGTCTTGAAATACCTTATGAACATTTTATCCATTTCAGATAATTCATAGAAAAATTGAGTTATGCCCAAAGTACGCAGAAGTGGGAGGAAACCCCCTCCCGAGGGATGGGAGTTAATAGAGCCGACTCTGGATGAACTGGAGCAGCGGATGCGGGAGGCAGAAAGTGACCCCCACGAGGGCAAGCGCAAAGTGGAGGCACTCTGGCCCATCTTCCGAATACACCACCAACGCTCAAGGTCAGTAAAAACAATATCGAATATCAATGTGTACATTTAATGTAGGAAGTGCTTCAATCAATTCTCGCTTGTCTATGCAATTGAGTCTTTTTTATCGTTTAGCCGTTCAGCAAAAGCAACAGTTACGGGACAAAGAAGTTGCGTCGTTTTTTTCAACGAAAAAATGACCAAGCAACATATTCAATTATTTCGTCTGTCGTGTTTCCGCGGCATAAAGAGTAAGTTGAGCTCATCGGCTTCCCAAGGAATCAATTTAAGCGCATACCTTCATTATCCTTGAGTTCGTTGCGAGGATGTTTCCACAGCAAGACCACCTATGAAACTAGTTATATGATATAATGTGGCTATTCATGCCTTCAAGACAATATTTCTCAAAATTTGGTCCGCCCTTGCTCAAGCTAAATAGTTTCATCAAGCATGTGTCAAATTTTAAGATTTTAGCTTAAATAATTGAAGAGAATACGTCAAAATTGAGAAAAATTCTTTCATTTACTTGTTGAAATCAGAAATATGCAATTTCTTTGTCCCGTGACTGAAGATTGGCCTTAACATATTATTTTCCGAAGCAAATTTATTGTTTTTGCTGTGCCGTAGCACACGTCCAAATGGTCCAGAAAAAATGTTTTTATGTCAATGGCTGTCTACAAACGTATTGTTGGCTTAATCAGCTGCTCGGGAGTCTAAAAGCTTATGTAATACTTATAGTTGTATTTATAGGCTGTTTTTCTGAAATTGAATTTCATTTTTTCCAGAAAAAAGTTTGGCAGTTTCTTTTCATTTGTTCGAAAGTGATTTGTTTTTGCATTGTATCGAAAGTGATGCTAAGCTCCGCTTCGCTTTTGTGATATATTGCTGAATAAAAGTCGTGTCAGATGTTGATTGTGTTTGTGGTTCACCTGAATTTAAAATTTCGGAGCTGTGACATATTTTTTCAGCTTTTTTGAAAATTTACATTTTCTCGGCTTGTGACAGTTTGTTTACTGATTTGTTTGGTTTGTTTGGACTTTTCTCAATTACTATGAATTTAAGAAACAGTTTTTGCTCAAATAGCCTGGCGCTTTTTTCTGTGCTTGTGCTTAGTCTTTAAGTTATGAAGCTACAACAAATTGATGTCGTTTTTTCAAAATTTTGAAATTGTCTCGGAACAAACTCACTCTCTCGGCTCAATTTTCACACGTTCTCCATTTGTTTATTCAGAGTGGATGAACGTAGTGAAGATATATCTAAATCTCGGTGATTTTTTTTCAGGAAAGTTATAAAATGCTCCAATAATTTCAGATGTGCATTCATACATAATAATGCATTTATGAATGTACTCTGATATATATGCATTTTTTGAGTTCAATCTAAAGTCAGCTGCTGAAAGTTAGGTAAATTGCACTCTCCTATTACGAACGTGGAAATGGCCCGAAATAACTTGAACGGCTTCTCGTTTCAAAATTGGCATTTGATTTTTAGATTTCCTAGCGGAATATAAACTTAACTTCTTGATCCAGTTTTTTCATGAGTTGTTTTTAATCATAAAAGTTTCAATCCATAAATTCAATCATAAGTTTTAGTCTTGAAATTCAAAAAGTGTTAAGGCAAAATATTTTTTACTTTGAAATTCGAAGCTTTTTTTTCTGTGTCCATGCGTTCATTTACTCTTTTCCAACTGTATGTTGGCTGTTTCTTTTTTTTTGCCCAGCAGTTAGAAGATCATGTCCATTGGTTAGTTTTGATATCAGTTTTTTATTTACATTATTTATGCAATTGCAGTTACGTCTTACTTGTAGGTATACTTACGGCGCTGCAATAGTGACCAATGCTCGCATGATTTATATTAAAAAAAAAACGTGAAAGGTTTGTTGAAAATGTGAAGTTAAATTTGCAGGTACATCTTTGACCTGTACTACAGACGGAAAGCGATCAGCAGGGAGTTGTACGAGTACTGTCTGGCAGAGTCCATCGCCGACAAGAACCTCATTGCCAAGTGGAAGAAGCAGGGCTACGAGAACCTCTGCTGTCTCAGGTAAATCCAGTTTATTATTAGTGTTCTGTGGATACTGGTACTGCTCAATTTGGACTCAAATTGGTATGGAGGCCTTATTTCCAATTTGAGTGGCTGTTCTGATTCATCAATGAACACTGAAGTTTACAAAAGTATCGATTGGGTTATTTATTTGACTTAAACATGTGAATTCTTGAGTCTTAATTTGTAAATTTCTTGACTATTCAGCATTTTATTTTCTCTTATACAGGTTTTTTGAGGTTTAACTCTTCTAGAACTTTGTTGAGCTATGTAAGGCTTCTTGTGATGTATATTGCTCATCAATTAACAAAGTAATTTCAGCGTAATTCTTGATTAATCGAAAAAAGCCAAAATGACCCATTTTTGGGGTAAAATTTTGGTTGAGAGTTGCGGAGAAAAAAATGCACCATATTAATTCTGATGAAATTCTAAGCAACTTTTGTTTTCTTCACTTTTTGTCTAATCTTAACCCAATTTGAGAAAAACGTGTTTTAAAATTCAAGTTTTCGTTTTGTCCGGATAATTCAAATCAGCACTGTACAAAGCTTAAAGCTACTAGAGTTATTAATTTTAAGTTGAAAAAATATAAAATGTGAGTTGTTTGTTGCTGTGCAGATGTATTCAGACACGTGACACCAACTTCGGAGCCTCCTGCATCTGTCGGGTGCCCAAGACGAAGTTGGAGGAGGGCAAAATAGTAGAGTGTGTGCATTGTGGTTGCAGAGGATGCAGTGGATAGAAAGTTGGGGGCTTCTCTCTTGTTCTACCCAAAATCAAAAATATTCATTAGAATCTGAAGATGAAAAAAGAAAATGTTCGATTCTGATTGGTTGAAATTGATAACAGTAGAAAAAATGGTCTTTCTAGTTTTTCTATCCTAGATCATTAATCTAAAACCATTTTTTCCATTTTTTTTCTCGAAAGTTAGAAAATATAAATTAAATCGGTGGAATCTGATTGGTTAAAATTGATGAAGCCATTGAAAAATATTTTTGGCATGAAGTTCAAAGTACAACAGATATGCCGGTAGGCAATTTTGGGTTGAATAAGTAAAAAGACCCGAAAGTTATAGACCGACAAATACAAAGAGACCTTTGGCCAAATAGAGGGACAGTTTAGAGACGACCATCAATCCCTCCCTGGATGGCCTCTCCATTCGGTGGTCTCTGCTATTTTCCAAACAAACCTTACAACTGTTTCGACCATAGATCTTACAGGATTGAAGAAACATTCTTCTGATCTTTGTTGAAGCCCGTGAATATAAATCGATGGGACCAATCGATCGTTCTAAATGTTGTTGTTGTTGTGTTTCGGATTTAGGATATTAAACTTCGATATGTTTTTTTTTGTTTTTAGATAATTTTATGTGCTGTAGATATAAAATATAGTTTTCTTGAAAATAGTTTTCGCTTTAAGTAAACTGTTGGCAGAGGGAGATATCCTTTTTTTGTTAAATTAATAATTTAGCAAACTAGAGATTTTCAGGCAATTATGGCAAACATCTCACTTGCGATCTACATGTCACTGATCGCATGATCATATTGAAATTGTCGCCGACTTATACGTTTGGCGAGTAGAGGTCAACTATTGGGCCTTATTGGTATGGCTTCCAAGTCCACACCTAGTCTTTCGAGTGCCGCAGCAGCCTCTAAGAAATCCCCGGCGTCTCCCTCCTCCGCGACTGCAAGTGGGAAGCCGAAGCCCTCCGACAGACTGAACCCAAAGACTATTGACCCCTTTAACAAAAAACAGGTACAAACCGGATCACTGCCAAACCGATCCTATTTCACGAGCATAAATGATGCCTGCGAGTTTTTTTAAATGAAAAAAAGGTTTCCAATCATAAAAACACGGTTGGGAATGTTTTAAACAAGTAAACTGTCTTGTAATTTTCAGTTGCAAATATGGCTGCCAAAATTTTTGAAAAGTTCTTTTGTTGGTTCAAACAGTGTCAGAGGAGAGTAATCAAACATTTTTCCTTGATCCTAAGACGAGAGGGATTAAATATATATATATACGAGAATTATTTCAAACCAGTGACTTCGAGTTTTTCAAAGTATCATTTGTTTTAAGAGACTTCCTTGAGTGCTGGTATGATTTTAACAAATTCTGAAACTAGTTATGATCGACTAGCTAATTCACGCCATCTGAACAAAGTCATTCGATTTTTTACTTAGCCAGATCCTTAAAATAATTTCATAGGCCATGTGTCTAAAGTTCAAGCCTGTACCTTAAATGCTTGCTGAGAAATGAAGGTATCAAAATTATGCTAGTCGATACATTTTCGTGTTTTCAAACTTTTAGGTTAGTCGAGCTTTATGCTAGTCGAACGGTATTTAAACCCTGGCTGAAGCTCTTAATCAAGAAAAAAGCGGGTTACGCAGCAGTATTTAGACAACCGAGTATTCAAACTCGTCAGTAAAAAGACAAATACTAAATTACCAATCAGAATCGAGACTAGGCAGAAGTTAATAATTATTTATTTTGAACTCTTGCTTCCTCATCTTGAATCTGATCGGTTAGGATAGTATTTGTCTGCTCACTAACTTTTATGAGTAAGCAGTTGTCTAAATACAGATCGTTCTCCATAACAGCAGTTCTCCGTAAAAAGCTCATATGTTAATTTTTTTTACTCTGAGGTTAAAAAGTCAAATATATCTTAATTTTTCTGTTCCTTGTGCAGAAAATAAATTGTATTTGACTTTTTATCCTCGGAGCAATAGAATTAATTTTTTCTGTTCGTTGTACAGGCGGCCAAGAGTAGTTTCGCTGTGGAGTACAACAACGGCAACATTCCCTGCAGATTGAACCATGGATCTGTGAAGCACAAACTGGAGTGGAAGCGAGATATCTCGGAAGTCCAGTTCGATCCCACATTGGTGCTTTTAGCTACTGGACTGCCAGAAACAAGCCATCCCTACACTTTCCTGTCTGAGAACGGATTCAAAGGTACATAATTTATAAATTACATGACATTCTGATTGCTATCAAAAAATTGCTATTGAAAGTCGATGAACGTAGTTCAGACTCTGATATAGGTCGCGATGATTTTTTTAAATAAATTTGTTCAGGCTCAAACTCGCGGCTTGACTTTTGATTTCTTTTAAGTTCAGTTCATTTCCTAGCTTCGAAAGTGGAATTCTAGCTTCGAAAGTGGAATTTAATTTTCAGATTTTCCAGCGGAATATAAACTTTACCTTTTGATCCAATTTTCTCTCAATTTGGGTTGATTTAATCATAAAAGTGCCAATCAAAAGATGTTCTAGAAATTCAAAGAGCTTTAAGGGCCTCTATTTTTTTCTTCGAAAACCGAAAGTTGGGATTTTTTTCAAAGAACAAGTCAGTATTTTTTGGTTAACTTGCGTTTGTTGACTCTTTTCCAACTGTCTGTTGGCTTTTTTCAGCTAGTACGCTAAAGAATTTCCAATTAAGTTTCGAGTTTAATTTATCGAAGTTTTTTTTAGAATTTTAGAATGTACGTTCTTCATGCTTTGAAATGCTGCTCAAATCTAAATTTACGGATAGGTACAAAACATTTTTTTATAGTTAAAAATTATCATAGATTTCAATATTTGTGATTGTCATCTATATCTTCTAAAACTCAACATTTTTGAAATTCTTTCTTTTCTTTCTTCGGCGTACACCTTCATGAGGTTAGCCCGGATCCTGTACAGTATCTCTCGTGTCTAGCGAAGTTATTTTTAGTTACTCTTTTGTTGCATCCACCACAAGTCTTGTGTTCGGGTCGGTATTTCGTAAATTGTCCTCCTACACATGCTTTAAGATGATTCTTCAGAGTTGCTGACTGTGTGAATAATCTATCGCATTTGTTGCAATTGTAGTTGATACTTTTGGTGTGCATTCTTTTTGTGTGTATGGCCACGCCAGCCCTGTTTTTACATTTCTTGCCGCAGACTCGGCAAATGCACGCCTCATCTTTTTCGTACTGCGTTCGTTGTATTTAGCTCGTTTCTCTTCTTCCTCCATTTTGTTGGTTCGTTTCCCAGTCTTCTATATGTTTCATTCTTCCTTTTACCATGCTCCTCCACAGAGTTCTGTCCTTTATATGGTGCTCCAGACTTATTTGGCCCCATCCAGCTTCTTTCGTCAGTTTCATCCAATATTTAGGCGTATTTCTTGTTCTTTTCAAGTTCCCCTCTTCTTTTTCTATCATCTTCGTCCATCCTAATACTTCTTTCTTTGTCATTCTGTTTTCATGCATTCTACCACATGTCCCATTCTTTCCAGGCGTCTCTTTTCTATTTTCATTCTAACTGACTTGATATTAAGCTCCTTTCTGACGTTCCAAGCTTTTTTGTGTTCTTCCTGCATTTCCTTCAAGGGAGGTTTGTTTTTTGAACTCCATATGTACCGGTAGCGTTTTTCCACGGTTTTTTGAAGCTCGTTCATTTCTCTCACTCTCACTATCCTGGCTTGCGTCTTCTTTGTCAATCGTGTGTTTCGTAGTCGCTTTTTCACTTGGAACCGTGCCCCCATTGCTCTCCTTGTTCTTCTTCTTCGGTCTACGGTTTCTCCAAGCCATACCCCTAAAAAACGAGTTTCGTCTGCTTCTGATGATCCAAATGTGATGTTTTTTTGCGTCATTCGTTTTCTCAAATAGTTCTGTGATCCGTTTATTTGTTTCTTCAGTTTTTTCCCTCTCGTCGGACATTGCTAGTATCATGGTGTCGTCTGCGAAGAGTACATTTTTACTCGTGTTGTTCCGCTTTTTTCGTTTTTTCTTTCTCTTTTCTGCTCCATGAAGCAAAATCCCGGTACCCATTTAACATCGATTCCTGTTTCTTCCCCTCGTTCCATTTCTATGGCTCGTATTGGCACTTGGTGGTATATGGTGAATGAAAGAGGTGAACTCGTACACCCTTTGCGTAGCCCTCTTGAAGGTCCCCATTGACTGCTAATTTCTTTGGCACTTCGTACTTTGTATCTCGTTGTTTCATGTAGTCCTTAGCCGATTTAACAACAATCCATTTAATCCATATTTTTCTTATCTTTTCTACAATAGGGGACGGTTAATCCTTGGATACGCTTTCTGTAAGTCTAATAAGCATGCTTAATCCTCTGCTTGTCCTTCCGATTCGTTCGGTCGCACTTTACTGCTGTCTTTGTGTATTCTCACTGCTGTTTGTGTTGTATCCGCTGTCAATCTCACTCGTCTGAATCCATCTTGATTGTCGTCGACTAACCCGATTTTTTTCTCCGCCTATTCTCTGAGCCTTAGAGTGATAATTCTAGCTAGTATTCTTGTAGCCATTGACAATAAGCTAATTCTTCTGTAGTATTTCGTATCTCTTTTTTCTCCTTGTTTTTGAACAGCGGTTTTGCAATACCTATGTTCACGATACCCTGCCACTTGTCGGTAGACTGTTGGAACAATTTTTGGATTATTTCCGCTATTATTCTCTTCGCGCTTTCTGGTGCTGCCTTTTTGTATATAATTCTGACGTTGTCCTCTCATGGGGCTTTCTCCCTTGTCTGCTCCCAAGCCTCTTAGATCTCCTCGTCTTCCGGAATTCCGTTCAATTTTTGCGCTGCTATCTTCTGTGCTTCTGTTGCTGTTGCTACTTTGTTTATCGACCTTCTTGCTTGTAACTTTAGTTGTTGTGAGTTTTCGTCTCTTGTTTTCTGAATCTTCCAGAAAGGTTCTTTGACTTGTTCCGCCGATATTAGACTTGCCGTGTTGTTCGGTATTGCATAATCCCTTAGACCGGTTTGTTTTAGTTTGCTGTACATCTGCACAATGTCTTGTTTCTTCATTGCTTCTTCACATTCTACTATCACTGCTTCCCACCATTCATTCTCCCATTCTTTCAATTTTTGTTTGTTTTCTCGTCTCGTTTTTCTTATTTGTTATACAATCTGCTCTTTCCACTTCTAGTCTGATTTTTTATATTGCATCTTCCTCTGCTGTTATTTCCCTCGTTTTTTGGTCCCTTTCACGTACTTTCTTATTTATTTCTTTTTGTATTTCATGCCATCTTCTTCATGTCCTAGCATCCATTCGTTCGTTTTGCTTCTCTTCTCCTGAAGTCCATATGTTTCTTTCAGAATACTTTTTGTAATCTGGTCCCAGGTTGCGTTCCTGTCCAGATCTTTTTGTTCCATCTTTTCCTGATATTCTATCATTTTGTCTTCGGTCTTCAGTTTCATCCAATTTGTTTGTTCGCTCTTGATTCTTTGGAACTTCTTTCTTCTTATCGATCGTAACTCTCATCGTTTTTGGCCTATGATCTGACCACCTGTCTTCTTCTTCTGTCTTCACACCCAATATGTGGAGATTTCGGTGCTTCTTTGCCATAAACCAATCTAGCTCGTACCACTTGTGTGATTTCGGGTGTCACCATGTGCCTCGGTGTTTCTTTCTCAAGAATGTATCAGGTATTATCATTTCGTTCTGTTCTGCAAATTCAATCAATTCTTCTCCTGCTTCGTTGCGATTGTTCATTCCTTCTTTTCCTATGGCTCTTCTTCCTTCATTGTTGCTGTTTCTTCCTATTTGCGCATTCCAGTTTCCTCCTATTATGATCCTTTCGTCTCTTCCTCTGCATGCCATGGCTTTTTCTACAGTTTTCTTGATTTCGTCTACTTCTGTTTTGTTGAGTGATAACGGTTGGTAAACCGACAACAGCTTCATGTTGTTCACTGCTATCATCAGTAGTCGTTCTTCCTGCCAAAATTGGCTTTCTTTCCACGCTTTTGCCCTTTCTCATGTCAGGACTATGGCTGTTCTTCCATGAATGATCACTTTATCTTCTTCGTACCACCAAATGCCTTCGCATTTGGATGACACTTCCGATATTAGAACGATGTTCCATTTCTTTTCTGAGAATGTGCGCAAAATGTGTTAGGTTCTTCCTCTGCCGTCTACTTGTATCTTGCAATTTCCTATGTTCCAGGTCGCTATTCTGAATCCACTTTTGTTTCCTATATTTTGCTGCATAACTTTGTGCCATCTCGTGGTTTCTCTCTTCCTTGCTTTCTTCGTTAAATTTTTTGTTCATTTTTTTTCTGTTTTCTAGTTTCTTCTTCCATTTCCTTCCTTTCTCTTTTCTTCCTTTCCTCTTTATCTTTTAAATAGTCTTCAATTTGTTGTTAACGCAATCGTCAAACGTATTCGGGCCTGGATTGGGATGTATTGTTTCTAGTCTTCGTTCTAGTATCTTTCTTAGATGTTCTTCTTAGTCTAACTTCGACACGAGGACCCTAATGGGATCCGTTGTTTTGCCTTCTGTTTGTTTCAGGAGGAGCGTGGCTCGGCTAGGACCAGGCCCCTCCCATCCCAAGAAAGATAATAACCGGATTGCTTCGCTTGCGTAGATAATCCCTTCTTTCGTTTCGGGCGATATCTTTTTTTTTGCTGAAACACTCCGCCACTGGAAGGTAAAACATCTGGGCTAACATATTTTTGAAATTGGGCAATGGTTATCATTCTTCGTCACCAAATATGAAACAAGAGGTAATTTCATAATTCGAAGAGTTTCCAACGAAGATGTTATGAACCAAGGATGTTCAGTTCAGCATTAGATTAGAAACATAGAGGACACAGAAAAGTATCAAAGTATGAATATAAGTTTTAAAATTTTCAGCTAAAACAGACAGGTGCAAAAATATTTCATCAACATGTCAAGGCTAATTGAAAAAAGTTCGAAGTGAGGAGATTTCGTGACAAGTATGCTAAGTGAGTTCCTGAATTATAGATAGGTCTCTGGCGAAAAATTTATTTTACTTCCGACTAGCAAATAATATCAAGTCGGGTACAAGACTTATTTTTTGTTAACAGTTTGTTGAATAGAAATACTGTCAGCCTATGCTCAGCTGCGGCTGCTCAAAAATAAAGGCTAGCTTATATTCCACCTTGCCTAATTGAGGCTTGCCATTCAGTTAGGCATCTATTTTGTTTCCTACCATCTTAGCAAAAATCTTCGCTTTGCGAGCTTATTAAGAGTCCATGAACATAGTTCACTCTTTTGTATGTCGTGATTATTTTTTTTGTTTTTTTTTCTTAGGTGTATGTGCACTTTTTGAGTTCAATAATTCAAGTTCATTTGCTAGAAGGCAGGCAAAATGCATTCTCCTATTATGAAAGATGAAGTGGTGTGAAAAAACGTGATCGATTTCTAATTTCGAAAGTCGAATTTAATTTTTAGATTTTCAGCGGAATAAAAAATTTTCCTTTCTAATAATTCCGTTTTCTCAACTTGATTTTTTTTTTCATAAAAAGTGCCAATTATAAATTGCCTTTGAAATTCAAAGATCTTTAAATTTATATGCTTTTGTTTGAAATTCGAAAGTTTTTTCACAAAACAAGTCATTTTTGTTCGTTTCTTTGCGTTCATTTACTCTTTCCCGACTGTCTGTTATCCATGTTCTTTTCGGGCTGATTCTCACTAAAAACTCAATACTAATCAGAAGGAGCATTTTGATGATAAGTTTTTTGTGTTGAAATTTTGTTGTTTTTTGAACTTCAAATTCAAGTATAAAAATCAAATTTAATGTTCAATCTTTTTTGTACGTAAAATTCATGATATTTTTTGAGCTGAAGTATGAAAACTAAATGTGATTTTCAATAATTTTTCACCTCTTACTTCTCTCGGTTAACTTTCTATACAATTTGATAACATTATTTCCAGTCCTTTTACAATAATATAATTGGACACACCTTGACTATGGAAAATTACTGTTATGTTTTTGTTTCACTTTTTTCTACGATAGCGGATGAGCAAAATATGATACTGCAAGGCTTTTTTGATACTGCAAGGCTTTATTAAGTACAGCCAATCCTAAGGATATTACCACAGACTATAATTTTACAAATAGCACTTTAGCTACAGGGTATCATAGATCTGTAGCGTAGAGGTAGGGAAGGAGACCAGCAACAAAATAAGAGGGTTCGAACCTGGGCAGGTTCGGATGTTTTTAATGAGCTTTTTCGTATGCTAGTTAAAATACGTCCGCTTTATAAAATGAGGCATGTTAGTTGGTAAGTTTCTTTTTTTTCTAATTGACTGGTTTTGCTAATGCGTCATAACTGGCTTTCGTCACTTAGCAATTATGTACACTCATAATTTGCGTGCGTCACTTAAGAAGTTTTGTAGACTGAAAGTTTTACTCATTCAATTTTTACCAGTAGCGTTGTCGGTCATACTTTTGCTTGTGTCTGCGAAGTGCAACTTCGCCTCTGTGTAAAATTCTCATATGAATGTCAATAATGAATGTTTTTGATAACTTTTTGAGTTATTTGTTGACGGTGCCGAAATTTGTAATCACGCTTAGAATCGTTTTTATTTAGTTATCAATTTACCAGCGCGAATTATGAATTAGTTTTTTTTCGATCTAAATGCTTTGTTTTCGGCTATACGTTTTTTTCCTGTTTTAAATTCATTATAGAGCATAACTATTTTTGTTGGAGATTTTGTTTCATTTTTTGCTTTTATTGAATAAATTTTTGTCTGGTTTTTTGGTAGTTTAGTGTCTTAATTTTCGTTAGATATAAGCAATTTCATCGTGAAGCAATTCAATGTGATGGCTTTGGATTCAAGCGTTGCGTAGTGATTTCTGATTTAAGGTTCATGACAGTGTTTTTGGTGACCGTTAAATCCTTTGTTTTCTCTTTTTTAACCCTTGTTTATAAAATCATAAATGATGTCTTTGAGTTAATTTTGTAACTTTCAGAGTTTTTATTGATTTTCTGCAAAATCTTTGTGGTAAGCTTGAAATTTTTGAAGTTTTGAAAGAATCATTTTTTTCAATTTTTTTCTCTGTTCTTGATGGGCTTGCAGTTAATTTTATTTTATTTTTTTCCGGGTTTATTAAGGAATTTCAAATCAAAATTTTTAAGCGAAACTTCATTGTTTATTTAATATTTTCCATCTCTTAATTACGAACAAGAACGTAACTTTATGATAGACCCATTGTTTTTCGGTTAGGTTATTGGTTTCCATAAGAATTGCGAAAAATAAGAACTATTTTTGTGAAATTTCAACCGAGGATTTTTTCAACAATTTTTTTCTCGTTTTCGTGTAATAATCGATGAATATTACACGATGAGATTCTATTATAAACGAATCAAAAGATTGACTTGTCTGATTATCAGCGTTAAAGTTTTGTTTTTTCTTTGTTATCTCTTTTGAACTTAAAGCTACTTTTTGGCGCTCTTTCATTTTTTCCACATTTCTTATTTTTCTTTTACAATGGAAAGAATCTCTGTTTCGCTTCTGTTCATTCTTGCTTTTCCTAGATCTTGTGCCGAGATTTCTCTTCTACGCTATCTATATTGATGTATTGTTTTTGGTAGAATTGCTGGAGCAGCCAGATGCAAGTGCGCGAATGAATCAGCAGTTGGTGGACCGCATAGTGCCACACATTAAGCTGGCCCTCTGCTCCGAGACCAGATTCGAGGCAGGGCTGAACTGTCTGGAAGTGTTAAGTCAGGTGGTACAAGAGGGACTGAATGTGCACCTGAAGGGACTGATGCAACAGCTGGCCAAGAAGAGCTCAAAGGGCAAAATCAGAGATAGGGTCATGGATGTTTTGCAGGCTAGAAAAAGACTTGAATAATAACTTTAATTTGGGGGGGCACTGAAATTAAAGTAGTGAAGTCTGCCATTTTAACAGACGTATTTAGCATAAGTCTTAATATTTGTTCAGGCTCAATTTTACTTTTTCGCGGTTCGACTTCTGATCATTTTTAAGTTCAGTGCATTTCCATTGTTAAAAGAAAAGCAAACTCCACTATCGAGCAGCAAAAGTGTAAAGGTCGAACAAAAAACGTGATCGACTTCTAATTTCGAAGATAGAATTTAGTTTCAATTTTCCCAGCAAAATGAAAAATTTACCTACCAGTCCAGTTTTTTCAAATTCAAAGGGCTTTAAGGCCGTCTATTTTTTTCTTTGAAGTTTTTTCAAAAAACAAATCAGTATTTTTTCTGTTAACTTGCGTTTATGGCTATGTGCATAAAATAATAATTCAAATTGAATTATCGCAAGCTAACTGGTAGCAATAGTTTTCCTGTTAAAACTCAAGTTATCTTTTTCAGGATTTTTTTCAAGCAATAATTCTGTATTTTCTTGCCTACTTTATATTGTTTTTTTTTGTTGCTTTGTATACTTTTAATTGTGATACTTATTTGTATCAGCATTTTTTTCTTGTTCCTTGGTTCTAGTCAATGCTGGGTGATCTGTGGGGGAGGGGGATTTTATCCATTTCACCTGAGCCGTCCCACCTTGTTACACCGAAGACTTTAGTCAAGGTGTTATGGTATCGTGTAACGGGTTTTTTTTTAAATGTTGTCTGTTGTCAAGTGTCGACAAATAACGTCCACAGTTATCAATTATCATGTGGGCTGGACTATATCGCGCTATGTCACGTGATTGCGTATGTTTGTTTCTTTATTTGTTCATCTTTATTTATTTAATTATCTGTTCTTCTATTTATTTAATTATGTTTAGTTTGCTTATATTTATTTATAATTTATGTATGTACATATTTATTTTTGTTTATTTTTATCACGTGTTTTGTTTATTTATTTAATTATTCTTTCTTTCATTTAGTTTTGCTTTTATTATTTCTGCGTGTGTATTTATTTAATTTATTTATTTTCATTTATTTATATTATGGGTCTGTTTGTTTGGTTATTTGTTCATATAGATTTTTTCATGTCTATTTAATTATTTGTACATTTCACTTTTGCTTTTATTTATTTATTTATTTATGTATTTATTTATGTATTTATTTATTTATTTATGTATTGATTTATTTTTTTATTGCTTATTTATTTATCAGGTGTGTTTTGTTTATTTGTTGATATTTATTTCTATATTTATTTAATTATTCTTTCTTTCATTTAGTTTTGCTTTTATTATTTATGTATGTGTATTTATTTCATTTATTTATTTTCATTTATTCATATTATGGGTCTGTTTGTTTGGTTCTTTGTTCATATATATTTTTTCATGTCTATTTAATTATTTGTACATTTCACTTTTGCTTTTATTTATTTATATATTTATTTATTTATGTATTCATTTATGTATTTATTTATTTATTGATTTATTTTTTTATTGCTTATTTATTTATCAGGTGTGTTTTGTTTATTTGTTGATATTTATTTCTATATTTATTTAATTATTCTTTCTTTCATTTAGTTTTGCTTTTATTATTTATGTATGTGTATTTATTTAATTCATTTACTTTCATTTATTTATATTATGGGTCTGTTTGTTTGGTTATTTGTTCATGAGATATATATTTTTTCATGTTAATTTAATTATTTGTACATTTCAGTTTTGCGTTTATTTATTTATTTATTTATTTATTTATTTATGTATTTATTTATTTATGTATTGATTTATTTTTTTATTGTTTATTTATTTATCAGGTGTGTTTTGTTTATTCGTTGATATTTGTTGCTTTATTTATTTAATTATTTTCTTTCATTCAGTTTTGCTTTTATTTATTATTCATGTATGAATTTATTTATTCATTTATTTATTTATGTTTATTTATTTTTGGTTTGTTCGTTCATTTGTTGGTTTGTTCGTTCATTTATGTATTTAGTTAGCGTCTTTGTTGTTTGATTGTGAAATTTGATGTTTTACTTCTTAGCTATGTAGTTAAAAGCAAAAAATGATTTTCAATTTATTGTTCTGTTTAGGATATTTTCAGAAAGATCTGTATATCACCAATTAGCGTACAACGATTTACAGGGAACGCTGCCAACGAGATTTGTCCACTTGCTTTTGGGTTGCAGCTACATCAAAAATGATTTTAAATTATTTATTTTAAAGATTTATCTATAGTTATATCTGTCCGGTAATTAATTTTCAAATTAGCTTTTGTATTTCTCAAAAAAGAATTTGTTGGAGCGTGGACTCAATAACGTAAAGCAAAATGTTAAATTTTATGTTACTTCTATTTTCAGTCATGTAATGGAGCCATTTCGACCCACGGGCATTGCAAATGATGACAACAGTTGCTATCTCAATTCTGTTCTTCAGCTTTTGTTGTCAAGCGCTTGCATCAGAGATCGGCTCAGTAGACTTACTGAATTTGACCATGGTGGCGTGTTAATTTCAACTGTGAAAGAGATATTTTGTCAAATGCTGTCCACAGAAAACTTTTTCATCAATGCGTCTACTTCCAAAGTTAAAATTCTCCAGCATCTTGATTTGAATTACAGCTTCTCATATACCTATGGACATCAGCACGATGCTTCCGAGGTACTACAGTCAATTATCAATGCATTTAAATCTGAGGGCCAATGGAATTTCTTTGAAATATCGTATTCAGATAATTTCACGTGTTGTCTGTGTAATGTGTCATGGAGAAGACCTGAAACTACTTCTGCGTTAGTTTTAAGTCCTCCACGCAATGGTCAACTTCTGCAGGAGCTTGTGGTCAATCACTTCGCCAACCAAGCCATTAATGTAACATGTCCAAATTCCACGTGTATCTCAGAAAGGGCAATAACAACTAAAGAACCAACCCATATTGCAAATACTGTTATTTTGCTGATTGCGCGTTACATGTTTGTCGCTGGCAATCGCGTTTACTCTAGAGCAGAAGTCACAATTGGTGAAACAATCGAAATTGGTGGATGTGATTACGGAGTAAAGGCTGCTGTTATTCACACGGGGTCTTTTGAATACGGTCATTACTTTACTGTCATAAAAACCGCTCATGAGTACCTTTGCGTTAACGATTGCACCATATCGCACCACCATGTCCCTGATTGGGGTTGTGCTTTTGTTATTCTTTGTGAAAAGAAAGATATGTATCCAACACCCGCTGCCAATATTATGCTGCTGGACAATTTATCAAATAACACTTGTGGTAATGTTAACAAATTAACAAAGTCAAAGATGGATCGGAAAGTGTACCAGGCAGAATGGGCACGAACGAAGCGCAAGAAGGGGTAATATCACAATATACCGTCATAACAATTAGATAACATAGAAAATGTACATTGCCTATCAGTATTTTTAGGGAGTTGGATTTCACGCTGACAACGAACTTGGTATTCCTGATTATCCAACCATTGCCAGCGTATCCCTTGGAGCCACCCGACGCTTTGCAATGAAAAGAAACGGGACCACGCGCTCTGAAGTTTCTGTTTTGTTGCCACATGGTAGCGTTTTTACCATGCTCGGAGCTTGCCAGAAAGACTGGAAGCACAGCATCTTGAGAGGATCCACTGCACCCGATGGATCGTTTGAGAAATGGAATGGCGTCCGTTTAAATTTGACGTTCCGTAATCAGTTTGACGCTGAACGTTGAAGTTTTATGTCATTTTTATTACTTGCCGGTTTTTGAAGGTTGAATTTGAACTTGATTTCGTGGAATACTTAACTGATATCTTTACCTGATTGAAGTTTTGTTCATGAATACCAACATTGGTACATTTTTCAGATCTGTGTCATGTCTTTGCAAGTATTTTTTTTGTTTTTTGGATTTGTTTTTCGGATTGTTTTACTGCTACATACTGTCAATTCTGAGACTGCTTCACAATTTCTCAATATAATAAGACTAATAGCTTTTTTTCATTTTAGCTCTTTCTTGTAAGTATATGTCTAAGTACGATTTTTAGTTATTCCGGAGACCCATATGAGTCTACATGCCAATTTATACGATTGGCCGATTGAAACGACAGGAGGCGTTTTGCTACACATACAAACACAATCTTTTGTATTTTATTATAGCTATAGAAATTGATCTACAATGCGTAAGTACGACATTTAGTTGTACGATTGTTATTTCAGGTCCTTTGTCAATATTTCAGGCTCTTTGTCAATATAGCAAAATTTTGGTGTATATATGTGTTAGTAAGATTTTTAGTTCTACAACGTTTATTCAGGCTCTTTGTCGATATAGCAAAATATTGGTGTATACATGTGTTAGTACGATTTTAGCTCTAGAATTGTTATTTCAGGCTCTTCGTCAATATAGCAATATTTTAGCGTATACATGTGTTAGTACCATTTTTAGTTCTCGAACTGTTATTTTATGATCTATGTCAATATATCAAAATTTTAGTGTATACATGTGTTATTACGATTTTTAGTTCTCGAACTGTTATTTCATGATCTTTGTCAATATATCAAAATTTTATTGTATACATGTGTTAGTACCATTTTTAGTTCTCGAACTGTTATTCCATGATCTTTGTCAATATAGCAAAATTTTGGTGTATACATGTGTTAGTACGATTTTTAGCTCTAGAACTGTTATTCCATGATCTTTGTCAATATAGCAAAAATTTGACGTATACATGTGTTAGTACGATTTTTAGCTCTCGAACTGTTATTTCATGATCTTTGCCAATATAGCAAAATTTTGGTGTATACATGTGTTCGTACGATTTTTAGCTCACGAACTGTTATTTCAGGCCCTTTGTCAATATAGTAAAATTTTGGTGTATACATGTGTTAGTACGATTTTTAGTTCTAGAAGTGTTATTTTATGATCTTCGTTGATATATCAAAAGTTTAACCTATACATGTGTTAGTACGATTTTTAGTTCTAGAACTGTTACTTCAGGCTCTTTCTCGATATAGCAAAATTTTGGTGTATACATGTATTAGTACGATTTTTTGTTCTAGAACTGTTATTCTTCAATTATTAGTTGTTCAAGTTGTTTGGTTTTTGCTTCAGTTTCTATGCCTTCGGTGTATTGCGCGTAGCGCCTATGTTGTAATTGTAACAGAACTGGGATTCGAACGCACTACTCTGGTGTTAGGAGACCTACTCGGCCACGGCTGTTCTGCTGTGAAATGCAGTAAAACGAAGCAAGACTTCGCCTGTGTAAAAACTGGAAACTTGATTTTTCGGCCATCAATTTTTATTAACTCAATGATCTAAACATTTAATAATGCAAATGGAGCTGCATAATATAGGAATTTTAAGTCTAATGTTGATTTGTTTTAGGTTCTGGAGCAGAACGGAGGCAAGGACGCTTTGTTGGCCATCAAGGAGAAAATACCAACCTACACACCTCTTATTTGCTAAGCCAGAGCGGAAGACGTGACTGGTCATGTAAACAACACGACACTGACTGTTTCTGAACTTGGCTGTAATTTAATGTCATATTTGTAAGTTTTAAATGTTCATCATGTATTATCTATGTGCCTGACAGATATAGGTTGAGAAAAGTTCGCAAACCAAAGAACTTTGCATTCTGATGCAGCAGAAGTTCATGAGCTAAATATGCTTTAGTTTTGCCTTCGTAGCATACCCAAAGTAAATGTACACTAAAAATAATGATGATTAGTGATAGTTTTTTATCTGTAAATAGCGTGTAAATTTGCTGGTTAAAAAATTGTGCAGTAAAGAGTTTGTAAATAGCTAATTTAACATTAAATTTTATCCTTTTAGTTGATGAGCTCAATAATTGGTAATATTTAAAATAGCTAGAAATTGAGGATGTTTCTTGGAAATCAGTCAATGTCCTGTAAGTAGAGATAATGGATCATGTTAACTATCCCCCCCCCCCTATGGTACCTTGTAAAGAATCTCCCCCCTTATAAAAAACACATGGGTCTTATGCACTAAACGGCCCAAAATCATTATTTCTACATCTCTTGAACTGAAATTAATGTGGTTGAATTTGATTGGCTAATTAGCCAATCAAGCTCCATCGACATTTTCTGCCGTTTCAAATGAAATAATTCTGCCATTTCAAGCAGACAAATTTATTAGCCGAAATGATAAAGAAATGAATTTTTGTTTTGTCGAGCCATTTTATTAAGTTTTTCTTGTCTGGGCAAGGTTTCACAAGTAACTCAAAATTAATTTGATTATTTTACAAAGTTCCATCTTTTCGGAATTTTCGGCTAATATTTTATCTGGTTGATCGGAATGCCTGACCGTCTAACTTGAATATCATTGGCTAAAATTACCCAATAAAATTCAATCGCATAATTTCCAGCTTACAATGTAGAAAATTTGATTTTGGGCCGTTTAGTGCATAAGACCCAAACACGGGGAGGGTTATCATGATTGAAGGACCGAATGCTTGAAAAATTTCAACCAATCAAAATCGCTCAGCGTTTCTATTGGCTAAATGCCTTTCTCACAAAATCGAAGTCAATATTAACAGAAAACGTATTAAATCAGTGGAAAATAATCAAAAATATTACAAATTGCGGGTTACAACCGCAATACTATTTAGATAATCATCAAGATTAATGAGGTCAAAATCATGAGAATTTTTCAGTCTTGAAAAGTTATCTGCTTATTATCTAATCGGTCAATATTAACACTCATGGCCTGGATTTTTCTTGTCTTACTTTAAGATTTTCGCGATGTACTTTGAGATTTTTAATACTCACTTCTGATTGGCTGAAAGTAAGCTAAAATAATTTCAAGCATTCGGTCCTTCAAGCATGAGGGACGCCACCAATGAAATGTGTTTGAGGGTGGCGTCCCTCATGCTTGAAGGACCGAATGCTTGAAATTAATTTAAGCTGACTTTCAGCCAATCAGAAGTGAGTATTAAAAATCTCAAAGTACATCGCGAAAATCTTAAAGTAAGACAAGAAAAATCCAGGCCATGAGTGTTAATATTGACCGATTAGATAATAAGCAGATAACTTTTCAAGACTGAAAAATTCTCATGATTTTTACCTCATTAATCTTGATGATTATCTAAATAGTATTGCGGTTGTAAACCGCAATTTGTAATATTTTTGATCATTTTCCACTGATTTAATACGTTTTCTGTACATTTAATACGTTTCCACCCAAGCCTCTACATTTTCCTGAAAAAGATTCAATTAGACTCAACAAATTAGAAATTCAACATTTTGAAGGCAATGGGGGGAACGCAGAATCAAGGGTCAAGGGTGGAAGAAATATTGGGTTATTCATGCAAAAATTCAAAAAATTTCTAGTAATTTCAACAAAGACCATGTTGTTGACTATTTATATGCTCTAGCTCGCTTAACTCTTTCGTTATTTTTAAATTGTCGGCATAATTTCTACTTAATTTTCGGCATTTTGTTGCTTTTTTAATTGATTTTCAAAAAATCACTTTTTTTAACTTATAGCCATCGTACAGCGTCCAAATTTTGAGAGGAGATAAAGGCCAATATTGCAATATTTTTGCTCCTATTCTGGGTTACCCCGCCCCCTATTCAGGTATAGTTGTAGTGAGTTAAAAATTTTAATAGGGTGTGCGGCTAGCAATTGTCATCAGAAGTAAATGTAACTTTTTTTCTTGTAAAAATATTCGTCTTTCTAAATCACAGTAATTGTAATTACTGTTCATCGACGATCTCTATGAGAAATGCAGTTCTCATTTGGTCTTCTCAGAACTATGTCTAGTGCCTTTTCAAGCCTAATCACTGGCATATTTTCTTTTCAGGTCGCTCGAAGCTCTGTTTTGCTTGCTTCAGAGTCTCTTATTGTTCCGACTTTCGATACGAAAGTAACGGAATATTTGTGCTCGGGGTGGGTTTTTTTCTTCAGACAAATTTCGACTTTTTAACTAGCCATTTTTGACGGAAGTTTTTTATATCATTCGAAAGGTCTTGTTGTTATCAGCTCAAATTTGAAAAGATATTTCACAAAGAAAAACAGACATTGACAAAGTAAAACAGACATTTAAAACAGGCTTAAAAATGACGGATTTTGTTGTACTCAATTTGATATTTTTGAAGAAAAAACAAAAACTTTTGAAACAAGCTCAAAAATGATGGAATTTTTATGCTCGATTAATTTTGTTTTAAAGAGAAAACTCTACTTTTCTCAATCGTTTTTAACATGTCCCTTTGTCAACTGAACGGTATTAGTGTCATTTGCTCAAAACTATCAAAAATCATTTGTCCTTAAGTTATGGAACTTAAAGAAGGCAATTTAATTAATTATGACGTGGCGCGGTATACTTTTTATATCAACCCGTAAGCGACAATAAATCTAAAGAGTAGTGAAATTCGCTCTTTTATATCATTTCATCTTTGTTTTGAAACATTAACTTGAAATATTTTTCTGCCCTCTTTCAAAAAGTGATGGAATACTTTTTTAAAAATTGGGGTGGTTGTTCTATTGAGTGTTTCATTAACTGAGGATTTGTGATAAAAATTTTTTATATCATCTGAAAATATGTTGTTCGGAGCTCAAAAGCAAAACAAACATACTTCACTTGTGATCAATTTTTGCAAAAACTTCATCAGCGTTTGAAAGTCACTTAATTGGCCATTTTGAAATAATTATCGCATGGTAGTTTGTATATGAGTTGACAACAAAATGAAGTCCAACATACCATACCAATAACGTTATGAACAGAAAATGTTTCAGCGGGCGTACAAATTTTCGATAAAAGATTATACATCACATTTCGGCAAGTTTTTTTTATGATTACCATATTATCTTTTCTTTCCCAATTTAGTGATTTCCTTGACACTTTTCCAAATGTCTGTTTTCAAATTTATTCGGATGTTGGCAATCTTAGACTTCAATTTGATACCAACGTTGTACGAGATGCTGTCAATTTCTTTATTTTGCTTATTTTGGTTAGGTTTTATCAACTATTATGTGCGTATGAACTAAGAAAGTTAGGGTTACTTCTTTGCTGAAAATTTTTTTGACTTAGTGAGCGTCTGCTCCAGTTTTGTCAATTTCTCTGCCGAAAGTTTTCATTTTCTTTTAGAAGTTTTTCATATATTTTTTTTCTGTTATCATCTAAAACAGTTAATGCTGTTTCGAGAACTTTCTCTATTTTTACACAATCACGCTCGTGATACATTCCGAGTTATTATTTTTAACCTATCTCGCATAAATTTGGGAAAGTTTTGGCTGATTGAGCTTAAACATTTGCTATGCAATTAAGCATAATTGCATACCAAATTTACTAGCAAATTACAGGTCTTATGCACAAAACGGCCCAAAATCAAAGTTTTTATATCATGAGTTATATGCAGTCGAATCTGACTGGCCTATATTCAAATTCAAGCAACATGTTCAGGCAATTCAATCAAAACTTGCAGCAGATAAAAATATTAGCCGAAATTACCAAAATGTTAAACATTTTTTCAAGTAACCTGGGTAATTTTGCTCGGATCGTAAAATGACTTCAGCTGAACTAAAGTTTCATTTCGGCCATTAATTTTATCTGCTTGGAATTTTAATTGAAATTCCGTACCATGTTGTTTGAATTTGAGTGTCTGATTAGCCAGTCAGATTCAACCATATTATTAAGAGTTCAAGAAAGATGTAGAAATACTGATTTTGCGCCGTTTAGTGCATAAGACCCCAAATTACTAGCATTCTTGATTTTCAAAATTTATTTTTGAACTTTTTTTTTCTAGTTATGGTCACCTTCAAAGTGGGCTGTAAAGGCATACGAATATTCGACTTACATCTCCGTTGTCTGTGACATCAATTTAATATTTATATAAGCTAGTATTTTTATGCATAGTGCGCCTTAACTTTGTGTTAAATTTAAAGGAAACTTGAGTAGCTCATAATGATGTGGCTATTGGACGAATAAAACGAACCAAAGGAATCACTAAATCAAACGGAGAATGAATTTTGTTAATGAACTGAGTAAGGCATATGAACTGGATGGTTGCGGTAACACAGAATCTTGATAGCAAAACAAAACAAGACTGCTCGTATCAGAGCAAAGCCCTGAAAGTTAAGACTGTATTTTAAGGTCTATGAAGCAGTTTTCGCTTCAAAAAAAAAGAAAAAAAATACAAAATTTTGAGTTTTAATTTAAATCATTCGTCATTTAAAGTTTAAAGTGATAGATTTCGCTCCTATTAACCTAGACGTAAGCTTGCTGCCCAACTGGGAGACTTCATTTCAATGACAATGGCTTATATCTTTGTTGCAAAAAAAACTAATTTTAGAGTTTGTATTGGAATTAATAAATTATCAATTGAACTGGTTTGCTAAAAAGTTATTATTCGACACAGCTTCAATGTAATTTAATTGGAACAATGAGACCATTATTTTTTAATCGAAGAAAACTCGATTTTTCAATTTCACTTACGATCAATTTATCTTTTATAAAAGGTCGTTGGCAATGTTCTGAGGCGATAATATTTTATCAAAATTCCGATAATTTCAATAGAAAAATCCAAAAATTATGATTTCGTTTTTCGACCACAAACTGCAAGGTTTTATACGAACTCTGCTTTATTCCATTATTGGAGCCATTTTGAAGTGGCTTCAGTAAAGGAACAAAATGAGCTGATCATTTTCTTCCATTACGATCAGCTCACTTTTTTCCGATGCGTAGAGTATTGTCCTAAATTGTCACTTGAAGCTTAAATTACGATTTTTTAAGGTTGAAATTGTTTTCTTAAAGAGCAATTTTGAAGCTTATTGAGTTAATTAATGTTCAACAACGCAAATATCATTTTGACTGACGAGAATGAGTGTTGCATTTTTTAACAATTTTAATGCAACGTTTTTTGGTTTGGCAATGTCTAAGGTCTTTGGCAATAATTTTATCCTACTTTATTTTTTGATATGCTACTTTATTTTTTTGTTACCAGTTTTTTTTTCAAAAGGCTGCCTACGCACTGAGCTGAACAATTAGGTTCAGAAGACGAATTTTAAACTTCTTTAACATTCAAACGATTTTTTTTGAAGTTATCTTAACAATACGGCCCCATTTTCACACTATAAAAAAAGCTCAAAGTCTTTTGCTCAATTTCACACTATAGAAGAATAGCTCAAACTTCATTTGTGCTCGGAGTGTTTTTTTCTCCCAAAAAAACTTCGAATTTTTAATTTTCCTTAGAAAAGTATTGTTATCCTGGCCTCAAATTTAAAAAGTTATTTCATGTGTGATCATTTTATGTAAAATTATGGCCGTTTAAAGAAAATGTAAGCGAAGATTTAATCTGTCTTAGAAATGGTTCGAAGTTGGTTGGAAGAAGCTTATTTGCCATAAATGATTTGTTACTAGGAGCAAAATCTATCACTTTGCACTTAATAGGGCGAGTGGGGGATGATTTTTACAGAAAAATCTCATATTAAAAAATTGATTTTAACTTTATTACATTTTTTTCATGTTATCACTGCTCCATAGATCTTAAAAAGCAGTCGGAACATTCACGGCTTTGCCCTGATACGAGCAGTTTTGTTGTATTCGAAAGCTCAATTTTCGTGAGATATATCACTTCGTAGTATCCTACAGAGCGTGTGCGGGGATAATTTTCAGAAATTTGTTTGAATTTTTTTGCTTTTTTTTTGGCATCAATTTTTTTAAAAGCGAAACTACTCCATAGACTTTAAATTGTCCTGAGCTCAAATTTGAAGAGATATTTCAGCGAGAACTCTTTTTTGTAAATTGTGAAGATTTGAAATTGCCAATTCGGGACAACTAACGCGTTATATAAAAATTGGTTAAAGCAGGCTATTTCAAATAATTGATACGTTACTGGAGCAAAGCCGATCACTTTTGACTCAAGATTTCTAAACGCTAAGAATATCAAGTAAAGTACCAGCAAATTTTAACTATTTGAATTAATGTAGTTCTTAAACTGTTTTACAAAAAAATACCGATATAGCTTATTTTATTAACCATTTTACTGATTACAAGGCAGTATTAAGAGCAATAGAAGACATGGACAAAATTGTAGTCTTGATTCCCTTGACGGTAGGATAATCCTAACCCTTTGATATATTGGTCGAAAAACCAGTTTACAGTTACTAGTTGAGGAAGTGGAAATTATCGATTATGTTTCTTGTTATTCCACAGACACAGGCACATAGATTCTAAAACACGACGTAAGACTTGTCATCGCATCACTCAAAAATTTTTTTTTTAAATAGCTGGAGTTCAGCAATTTTTGTTCGTTCTTCTTAAAATTCAGGCTACTCGATCTAAAACATCAGAGAACAACTCATAAATGCGTGATAATAAACACATCAACCTGATGACATAAAAGCAAAAGGAAAGCGTAAAAGGAGAGTTTGTATGCGGAAATTTGTTTTTCAAAGGTTCGGGCATATTTTGCTCCTGAAAGAGTTATGTCAAGAAAAACGAAATTCTCGTGAAAAGATCATCTTTTTCTTGGATTAGTGATTGCTTTAGATCCATCTGTCCCCTAATTCTTGGGGCTTCCAATCGTGAGGATCTATTAAGTTCCTCAAAACTGAACAAGTCGTTGATTAGTTGAGCTGATAGTCAACCAAACAACATCGCTCTTCATTAGAGACAAGTTTCTTCGAACTTCTATAAACAATGTTTGGCTGCTGTTTGGGACTATAAAGAGTCGCACAAATTCTATAGTTTAATTTTTGCTCATTAATTTTTGGTTCTGATCGACTATCAAGAGATCTTTTTCTTGCTATCGTAACCGAGACTGAGGCAATTTTTAACTATTGTCCGCTAACGCATGTCAGCAGTGACAATGACGACGACCTTCCACTGACTCCCAGTCATTTCTAATGGGTCGTCTAGTCGTCTACACTCCTTATACAAAGTATCTACTAGTAAACTGTTCAGCAAGACTAGAAGCAAGTGAAAGATAGACTTGACAGCTTCTGGAGGCGCCGACCTAAAAAGTAAGTCCCAAATCCCATCAAAAACTTTAAAAGGATGCAACCCGAGGAAGCACTCGAACACGAAGTTTTTTTTGCATACTAGAGGACTTTACACCACAAGGCATCAGGCCACTGTGTCAGTTTGGGTGCTAAAAGTTTTTACCGACCCAGATGCCCTCACGAGCTCGCTTAAGCTAAAACGGCTTGAGGGTCTATAACGAGGCAATTGGTGAAAATTGCGCTCGTGTCTTCTAAAACACTGATTTGGGACTAACGCCATTAAGAATACTGCAAGGAGTGGGCTCGTCCCCCTCCCCTTTGGCATAAAAATCTAACAGATTTTACTCAGCCGAAACAAAATGGGAACTATAACTCTGATATAAAAATTTTCATCAACTGTAATTTGACATAATGATCATTCAAGCTCGGCATCAAAAATTCTGGCAGCCATAGAGGGATAGAGGGATGCTCACGGAAGGCACTACTTCCCATCAAAGGCGATCAATTTGACCCTAGCAGAAAGTTATTGTCCCTCCAACACAGTAGGCACTATGTCACCCAACGTCAAATTATATAACACCAAAGTTTACCTCAATTTCCTGCTGAAAAACCAAAATCTGAACTGCACCTCTTGCTCGTGCCAAATTTAAGATCACTGTTTGTTTCTGAATCAATGACCGTACTTCATTCCTCCCCGCAAAGCTAAGTTCCGAGTCTTTCTACAAAAACAGTACAAAAAACAGCAAAAAACACAAAAGAAAAAAAACTTTTTACCTCTTGAAATTTTTCTCTACTCCCGCTGTGCGATTATCTACGTCAGACAATCTTGTTACAAAAAACTATGTAATCATTCAACAATAACGAAACCACTATCACTGAAATGCTGCAAATTGAAAATGCTGAATGGCGTCTAAAAAACTTCGGTCTGCCCCTCACTTTGGTATCGTGTGGGAGCGAAACGTTTCAGTAATGAAACAAGCATTCTTACTAATTATCAGTGGTAACTGGTTATCGAGAGATCTAATTGCTACTTAGGTAGACGAGACTGAGGCAATTATTGTTTCTCGTCCGCTATCGCATGTCAGCACTGACATTGACGACAACCTCCCACTGTTAGCCAACCACTTCCTAGTGTTCGCTCATTTGTCTACGCTTCAGCAGCAATCTTACACAAAGAATCTACTAGTTTAATGTCCAACAAAACCTAGAAGCGAACAAAAAACAGCTTTGACAGCTTCTGGAGGGGTCTACGCCAAGAGTACGCCCGGCTCTCATCAAAAGGACTAAAGGGAAGCAACCCGATGAAACACTAGAAATTGATGACCCGATGTGGACACTGAGGACTTTACATCACAAGGCATCTGGCCTTTAGCTTGAGGGCTAGAATTTTTACCGACTCAGAAGGCTCGTGTAAGATCAAAATGGTATTAGGTGCTCTAACGAGACCAGTGGTGAAACTTGCACTCGTATCTGCTAAAAAATGGATGTCAGACTAACTTCATTGAACACAAAATAAAGATTAGGCTCGTCCCTCTTCTCTTTGGCAAGAATTTTTAAGGGTTTTCCCGAGGATGCTGGTGATCATCAACTGGTAAATTTATTGTCTCAAATATTTGAAATGCATGAAGTACTTATGTTTTTGACTCAGCCAGACGAAGTTTGGACTTGAAGCTGTGAAATTAAAGTTCTCTGCTATTGCAACCTGCTATTGCCATAACTTCAAACCAAGCTACTACGTCAATATAACTTTCAATTGGCATCTCTGCTATTGCAACCTGCTATTGCCATAACTTCAAACCAAGCTACTACGTCAATATAACTTTCAATTGGCACCAGCTAAAGACTTAAACTATCTGCCGATAGTTCTCGCCCTTGATTTAGTCAGTCAATTTCAGATGCGTTCATGTCATCTTTTAACACGTTTTAAATCAAACTTCGTTTCAAAACAAAAGTTTTAGACAGTTGTCGAACTATCAGTTTCTACCTTATATTAGTCTAAAATAGCCATAGCCACGCAAATTAACACCCTTTTATCTTGGTTTGTCTACTTATTTTTATATAAAAGTTCCATGGGAGGACTTACGGGGTTGCAGAGGCCGTCATAGGAACTCGATCTCTTCAGAAACAATAAAAAACGTTTACTCTAGCTCTAGAAAAACAAATATCTGTCGCTTCTCCTGCGTATGCTCGTCTAATGAAAAAATGCTGAATTTAAACTACTTGTGTCTACATAATAATAATAAAAAAAATCAATTGAGGAGAAAAAATGTTCTGCTAGTAGTAAATTGTTTCTAAATGGGCAGTTATTGCTAGGAGAAAGCTATGATTAGCGCTATGAAAGTGAGTACGTAGCAGAGACCCAACAGCCTGTCGACTACTCTAGCCAAATATCTCCACTCTTCTTTAATATATTTCTGATACTCCTTTTCCAAATCTTTGCTCTGTTCTCTCGTTAGTCTGTCTTTAATATCCTGCAACAATTGCAGACACTTTATCAGCTCCAATTCGTGCTCCGAAACTGCCTCTTCTTCGTCTGACACCAAAATTCGAGGGTTACCGGTTCGATTCCGGATCTCGCCCATGTGAACACTTTTGTTATTTTGTTTTGGAAAAGACTTGACATCACCGTTGAAATGAGAATTTAAACTAGGATAGCCACAATCGTCTGTGCAGCTTTGGGATAAGTCGGATAAGCTACCCTTGTTTTGGACAAGATTCAATTGTGGCGGGTTTTTAGCGGAACTATGATTGTGGTTCATTCTGTTGGAAAAATAAGTATCTGCCAATTGAGAAATTGGCTGCCTTTCTTTTGCGGCCAATCCATTTAACGATGGCTTCATTTGGTACGCAAGTGAGTTTATTTTTGAGAACTTTTTTGGAGTTTTAACTGGTCTTCCCACACAAAGCAGTCTGGCTAGGAACAGGAAGGGGGCTGCGTCTCTGAGTAGATGGACCAATCTGCGAGATTTGATAGGCTGGTGATGTATATTTAGAACTATCACTGTCATCACTACTGAACTTGCCACAAGCCCCATCGATATCAAATAGTAACTACCTAAAAACAAAAATTCTCTTTAAATAGAAAAAAAACAATCATTGCATAAAAGGAGCGTCGTGCTATACTTAGATGATTTTTCTATATCACGTCGTCCGTCATTGTTACAAAGGAACTTCTTATGTCAGATAACCCTTTATCGCACTCACTCAAAAAAAAAATCGATTAAACTACAATTATAATTGTATTTCGATGAAAATTATAATTAACAATAAAAGCCAAAAATAGTTGTTAAAAGAATTTATAATCCATTATAAACATAGCCAACAGACAGTTGGAAAAGGTTCAATGAGCGCAAGTAAACAGACAAAAATACTGACTTGTTTTTTGAAAAATATCAATTTTCAAATTTCAAAAAAAATTAGATGGCCTTAAAGCTCTTTGAATTTGAAGAACAATTTATGATTGACACTTCCCTCATAAAATTAAATCAGTTTCAGAAAGCTGAATCAACTTATAAAATATTCATTTTGCTTAAAAAATTGAAAATAAATTCCAATTTTGATACTAGAATCCTATTTTTTGTAACTTTTACAATTTTCCTCTTCGACAGTGGAGTTTGCTTTTCTTTTAATAAAGAAAATGAACTGAGCTTAACGCGAAACCGAATAAAACCATGAAAAACAAAATTTGAGCTTTAACAAAATCTAAAACATCTTCTTGAAAAAAAAAATCATCGAGATCTGTTTAAAAATCTTCAATTTCACACTTAAAGTCAACATTTTTTAAGAAACTTAAGTTGTCAAATATAATAGAATATAGTTTTGAAGAAAATATCTTTAAATCTATTCTAACCTTTTTTATTGGCAAAATGCTATCAGAACACAATTATATTTATAATGGAATGCAATTTTCCTGCCAATAAGGAAATCTCTAAGCCTGAGATGCCTTGTCTCACTAGACAAAAGTTTCAAAGATATTGCTACATTTTAAATCAAAGATTTCCCTTGGTAAATAAAAAATAACACAAGCAGAGTAATCATTAAAAAACAATGAAGTCATGTTTTGGTAGTGCAAATAACTGACATCACACACAAAATTGATCGAGAAAAATGATGAAAAAAAGGTAAGTAGTTGAATTGATTTGAAATGAAAAAAAGTTCTCGAAATTTTAAGAAAATCAACATCGATGAAAAGCACACCTTTAAATCAATTCAGATGCAAAAAAAATGAAATTGGAATGAAAAATAACTAAACGATCATAATTGACTATAATATGATGAAAATCAGATTTAATTACTTCAAAAAATAAAACTTTTGAATCCATTTTTAATCATATTTAACTATATTAACTTTTTTAGAGACAGACCACAAAATTAGCATGTAGTCGATTGTCAACTTTTTTTAGTGAGCTCAGGTTGTTTAAAATATCTTTGGACACAACACGAAAACTTAAAACATTTTTTGATTTTTTTTATGGAGAAAAGCTGGTATTACTGTTTTCATATATGGAAAAATGCTTGTCATAAAAAAAGCTTATTTTACATCTTCTAAAATGTTTTGGTACGTATGACAAGCATTGTATGACAAGCATTTTGTTCAACCCGAGAGCGCTTAGAAGTTTGACCGAAAAACATTCGCTCGCTTGACAGTTTTCCCCAAAGAAAAATTCTCGAGCAAGCGAGTTGTTCGGTCCAATTCTTAAGCGTTCCCGGGATGATCAAAAGTGTTTATCACACGCAGTGGTGGATGTAGGATTTTCTCAAGGGGGGGGGGGGGGGGCGGATTTTCAAAAAAATCGAAAATTTTGACGACCTTTTTTTTAGGTCGACCAAATTGATTTTTCGAGCTCTCCCAAAGCACTGTTTTGCCCCTATTTTGGCATAATTTTCTGCACCGTTTTTGGGCACTTTTTGAAAAATTTTGACAAAAAAATCGCGTTTTTTTGGCGCGCGCTCCCCCTCAAAGTTAGTATATATTGGCGCCAAAGGCGCCTTTAGAAAAATTTTAGGGTCGGTCGGCCAAAAATGGATTTCTGAAAAAGTATCAAAGGGGGGACCATAATTATATCATATATGCCTGAAAGTAAAAATTGTGGAAACTTTTCTCTGCATTTTTAAGCCTAGCTTAGAGTTTGTTATAGCGATGGCATCGCCGGAATTTCATATCAAATAAAATGGAGGTTAATAAGAATGGGAGTTACAATCTGATGGAACCGTTCGAATAAAAAGTGTCTTTGTATGCAAAAATGACTCCCAGTCTCTCTAAGCTCATTATCTTCTAAAACAATTACTTGAAATGCCTAACAGGTCAAAAGAATTCAACATTTGAGTAAACAAGAAAAGGCTGGGCAAAACTGCAAAAAATTTTGAAATTGAAATGGAAGTTAAAGAAATTTCACAAACGAAAATTGATTTTTTTAAAGCAGGCTAACAACAACACAATTGATGGTGAATTTGCATAAAATGTTTTAGCTAGCTTAAAGTATTCAGCATCATTGATTTTACAAAAACTCAAACGCAGGTCAATAAATGAACCGGCGATGAACGGAGGAAAATTTGAAAGTCAGTCCAATTTTTCTCGACATACTTAATATTTTTTGAAATAACTCAAATCCGTGTTACAAGAACCTCATATTGAAAACACTCAACCACATCTGACGCTTGATTTTGATGCTTGACTTTTTTTTGTTACAAAAACACCCGAACCAAAGTTCTTCTTCGCCTTCGGTTTTTGGCTCAAAAAGCTAAAAATTTATTTTTTTTTGGAATCTCGTTGATATTTATTTTCAGTCAATATCAAATTTGATGAGGTGCTTTTCTTTCCGGATGGTGTTTTTGGCTTAAAGTTCATTACTTATTGAAAGTAAAAATATTTGATCAAGTTGATATCACGTCCTCCTCCCTCTTCCCCTAAATAGACAAAATTAAGGTTCTTACCCCATTTTTTAAACTGTAATAAATTTGCTCAGTGCTGCGAGTTACGTTATCCATTCTGATTGACTAAGCAATCCAGCTGAAAACCAAGTTAACAATCCCTGATAAGCTTGGAAGATACTATAACGACGGTCGAGTTTACTATTTAATCGAGAAGCAGAAAAATGGTGTTTTCATAAAATTTTGACCTAGTTTGAAATATGAGATACAATTGCTAATGATATTTGGATAAGTTTGGATCTAATAGCTGAAGTTTACTAAACACATATATTTATTTGTTTATGAATTCCACAAATTGTTCCGGGTTCCGCAATTTTTGTTGCGGATTCCATAAATTTTGTTGCGGATTCCGCAAATTTGCCTGTGTTTAGAGCAATTTTGAGCGAAAAATCTGATTTTGGATGTTGCGGAATCCATTTACAGTTCTCAAAATGCACAGTTTGGTGTGATGTTTAAATTTAAGTTACAATCAATCTATTCAGAGTAAAGTAAATGACATTTTTTGCATTAAATGTTTTTCATTGTACTCCTTTGAAGGCTATATCTAAGATTTTCCAAAGAACTAAGTTTTTTCCCTGTTTCGGCATTTATCAAGCCATTTTTTACGCCATAGATAGTTTTGGCCATTACAAAATCATGCATAAAATTTTTTTTAATATTTGACCGTATAAACAAAATCTAGTTTCCTTTGAAAATTTTTTGTTTTCGAGAACTGACATGACAGCTCAAAACAATTATTTCTTTTATTGTATAAATTTAAAATTTTCTGTTTTATTTGAGTTTGCAAATGGGAAACTGGTTCATTATAGCTTTCATCACATAAGAGAGTTCGAGCTTTTTGTTTTCAAAAACTGACAGCATAAAACAATTTTTTTTTCTTTGTCTTTTTAGATCAAAACAGTTTTTGATCAGTTTTTAACGACGCTTTTGTTTTTCTTTCTTCGCCTTCGAAAATTGTTCAGAATTCGATGTGATCACATTATTCAAAATAGCCGTTTTTCGTTTTGCATTTTGATTGTCAAACTGCAGCTTTTCGTTATCTTCACATTTTGAAATTTTTCTCCTCTTAGAACTTTTGTTTGTTTTTAGAAAAATTTCAAACGATATATTCATGAGGAGGTTAATCAAGTTTCAAACGAAAGGAAATTTTTGAACTACAAATAGCGTCTTTTTTTCTGTTACGTTGGCTAGTATCAATTTATAATATATTTTTATTGAGTTGTATAGGGTTGATCGGCCAAAATTGAATGACGTAAAATACTGCCAAATTGTAAACAAGACTGCTCGTATCAGGGCGAAGCCCTGAATGTTCCGACTGCCTTTTAAGGTCTATGAAGCAGAAATATGATGAAAAAATTAAATATAAAAAAATGGAAAAAAAAATTTGAGATTTTTTGTGAAAATCATCCCCCCACACGCCATATAAAGTACAAAGTGATAAATTTAGCTTCTAGCAACAAATCAATTATGGCAAATAAGCTTCTTTCAACCAATTTGGAACGATTTCTATGACTGAATAAATCTACGCTTACGCGTTAATAGCGCGAAATATATCGCGCGTTAATTGTCCCGAATTGGCCAAAATGCCAATCTTTAAACCCCCATAACTTTACGAAAATTGATCACAGGTGAAATATTTTTTTCAAATTTAAGCTCAGGACAACAATACCTTTTGAATGATATAAAAAATTTCCGTCAAAAATGGCTAGTTAAAAAGTCGAAACTTGTCTGAAGAAAAAAAAACCCACCCCGAGCACAAATATTCCGTTACTTTCGTTTCGAAAGTCGGAACAATTACACTTGGGGTGATAAGGGCTCTCCAATTCTTCTGGGATGCCCCTGAAATGCCCTGAAGTATGACGTCTGCGCTCTTTGCAGAAATCATTATTCTCTATTTTTTTTGATAAGTTTCTTGTATAAGAAAAGAGGGAGGGGGTTGATGGAATTTTTTTTGACAACATTCAAAAAACAAGTTGATCTAATGTAGATCTTTTTCGCATAAAAACATGAATTACAATTGAATTAAAGTATAAATTTTTGTATGCAGAGTGTATTGTAAGGGAGCTAGGAATAATGTTCGTTTTATGTTACAAATAGAAAATGGAAACAAAAACTGCATTTCCAATTATGATATTGTCTAGTTTCGGCCAATATTGCGCTTAGTTTGTATTTGCAGGAACTTGACCAAAAATGATTTTGTTTCCACCGAATCAACTGAAATATAATTATAGACGTCTTTATTGGGCAGTCGCCGCTGGGGTTGTAGTGGCGTTAAATATTATTAAATTAAACCCCCCCCCACCACCACCACCACCACCACCACCACCGCCACCACTACCACATATTGTAGAAGAATTGGGAAATCATAACAAGGTTCAAAATTAAGATATGCTAAATCGTTGAATTAGTTTTTTCTAGAGGTGGAAATTTTAAACGTGGTACCATAGGGTGCAGGAGGTGGGGGGGGGCAGGGGTAGTTCACACAATAGAGACGGATATGGGTTTACCTAGAATGGGGAAGCTGTCGGAGGACTCTGGGAGGAGATCGACGAGGTTGAGCAGGTTGACGAAGAGAGAGAGGAGGACTGTTATCCCGAGGGAGATCTTCTCCCCACTCTCGCACGGCAGCACGAAGTTGGACAGAGACACGGCCGAGATCATCACGAATGGCACTGCATAATCAACACACATCGTCACTTTATATACACACACATGCTCTTTTTTCGTTTTTAGTTAAGAACAGTAATTTTTGTTTTCAGTGTTATACTTAAAACAATGGCAGCCGGTTGCCGTTTTTCAGTGTTGAAACAAGGGCAGCCGGTTGCCGTGCAAGTAGCACAGAATGTTCCGACCACTCTTATTTTTGAATACCAAAAAAATTTTCCAAATTTTTTCCAATATTTTTTCATGATTTTTGCCCAACTTGTTTTTTTAGCTACTGAGATTTTGTGAGGAGTCTGAGTTGGTTGATAAATTATAAGAAAAAGCAAAAATTATTCTAAAATTGAGGAATAATTAGACGGGAAAAGCAGTGTTAAAATGAGCTTGTCGGAAAATAGTCTGAAAAATGTAACAATTCAAACAAGACAAAATGGATACAACTTATTTGAACTACTTTTGCAATTCCAAATTACGGGTGACAGATGTTTTACCCCAACAAAATGATGGCAACGAATTTTTTTTCGAAAATTCGATCAATTTGGGCAGACGATACAATTTTGTGTGTAATAGCCTCAGACGGTTTTTTTCTGTTTTTTGCTATTTTTGCTCCATAATTTCACAAATAGATGTTTCCAGATGTCTTTTATTTTGCATCTTTGCAACTTTTTACAATTTATTTCAATGCACTTAGTATGTATAAAAACAATGAGTATGCTAAGCGAGTCTTATGCTTAGTGACATATGGTCCGTCTAATGATGTCTTATTCTGACCTATTAGGATGAGAAGGAAATAGAGACTCTTCCGTTTGAAGGAGAGAGTAAAATCTATGGTGCGGAATGTCATGTCGTAGTCTGCGTGGTACTCGTTCAGTGTCTCAATCTTAGTGGACACTATGTCCCACTGGGCATTGTGCATGAAGTATTGAGTCTTCATCTGGCTGTGGTTGTGGTACACTACCAGGTCCAGTTCAGAAGGGGAGTGATACCAGGATCCCAGAGTGATCTGGCACACAACAGAACAGAACCATAACAGAACAGATTTTGAAAATTAATTATGTTTTAATATTATTACTATTATTATTGCATGATAAAATGAGCTTTCACAGCCTCGAAAACAAAAGTTCAGCAACTCTCGAATTTTCATCTCCTAATAATCTTAGTAAAAATCAGACCAAAATTTGACAGCTTGTGATGATGTTTAAAACTATCTTCACTCTACCCGGTCGATGATCAAATCATGATCAGATTTTTTTAAGGTCGTGCATATGCGCATGTAAACGAATAGAATAAAGCCCGTTTCTGCTATCACTAACATATTGCAGTTAATCCGATGGTGCAATTATGTGAGGCCACTGTATTAGGAAAAGAGCCCAGATGTTTCAACTAAATAAAAGCAGCAGCAATCATGCCTCAAGGTCTTTTTTCAAATCAACAGCAGTCTATATCAAAGGGAAAGGTCAAAAGACAAAAGCGACCTGCCCTGAATGAAAAACAGAACGCGAACAGACATGGTATGTTGCCTGAAGGAGTTTTATGCATGGGATTAGTCTTTGTGACGCAGAAGTCTCTTTTCGAAAGGACATTGAATAATAAGAATTTTAATTGTTCCGACTTTCGAAGAAATCGGAATAATTATGCTCGGTGTTGTTTTTTTTTCAGTCAATTTTCACCGATCGAAATAATAATTTTTAACAAACATTTTTTCACTCCCCATTGAAGATATCGACTTCCTCAAATCAAATGTAAAAACATACTTTACCTTGGATTATTTTTTGTAAAGTTCTGGGGGTTTGAAAACTGTCACATTTTCCATGTTCTGGACTAAGTTATGCGCGCTTTGAAGAGTTTATTCATAATGCTGAAAGCGTAACGCGAATTATTTATGCGTAGCGAATTATCCCGCACAACAAAATTGTTCCAAATTAAATTGAGGCTAGCTAATTCGTCGTATTAATTTCGTACGACTCAAAATTTTACGCTCAGATATTGTCCAAAATGTATAGGTTTTCTGTCTTTTTTCACAAAAACTATTCGATTTGAATTAAGGGACAGTCGGAACATACAGGGCTTTATTATGATTATTATTATGATTAGTATTATTATGATTATTATGATTATTAGTTATTATTAATACTTTTATTATGATTACCATGATTATTATGATTATTATGATTATGATTACTATTATTACGATTATTATGACTATGATTATTCTGATTATTATTATTATGATTATGATTACTATTATGATTATTATCATTATTATTTCGATTATTATGATTGTTATGATTTTTATTATTATGATTATTATGATTATTATGATTATGATTATGATTATTATTACTAGTTATCATTATTAGCATTACTATTATGATTATTAGTGTTATTTTTATTATGATTATTATTATTATTATTATTATTATTATTATTATTATTATTATTATTATGATTATTATTATTATTATTCAGGGCCAATTTAGGGGGGGGGGCGTGGGGGCGGACGCTTTCTTTCCTCAGAAATTTGACCCCCTGCCGACCCAAATGATGCCGCCCCCTGCCGACCCTTTGTACTGTTTTGAGATATTCATTTTTGGTGACGGAACCTAAAAATTTTCTAAGGGCGCCTTGGGCCTGAATATATACTAATTTTGAGGGGGGAGCACGCGCCGAAAAAATGCGATTTTTTGGTCAAAATTTTCCAAAAATTTCCTAAAAACGTCTTTTTTTTGGCCTGTTTTTTTTGAAATTTTGCCTCAGGCGCAGTAAGTTTGGTCAAAATGGGGTCTTCACAGTAATTTAGGAGAGCTCAGAAAATCAATTTGGTCAACCTAAAAAAAAGGTCGACAAAATTTTTTGAAAGTCCGCCACCCCCTCGAGAAAATCCTAGATCTGCCCCTGCTATTATTATTTATTTTATTATTAGTTATTAATTTATTTTTTATTATAATTATTTATTATGATTGTTATTAAATTTTTAAATATTTAAGTTATTAAAAGTTATTAACTAATAGATTATTAAATATTATGATTATAACAAAACAAAACCAGGTTAGACAATAATAAGGATGGAATGTGCCTTTCGTCTATTCCATCAACCGTCAAATTGTATAATTGTTGGTGCTAATTGAGTAAGATTTAATTTGATTTTGGAGATATAATTTTTCTGTCATTCCTTGTTTTAGATATGGGATCTTGTTAAGTATTTCCACCCCAGATGATGTTTTTTTTTTACTATCATCATTTGATTGGCTCATACAAAGTTATTGGGCGACCGAAAAGAAAGGTAGGGTGGTAAACAAGGTTTGCTGATCCATAGTTCACTTTTGAGGTGGACATTCTTACCTATACCCAGTTTTCTAGGGGAGGGGCGGTTTTTAGGCACTTTTTGGAAACTTTTGTCCCCGCTCCTCCCCCCCCCCCTAAATCCGCCCCTGGTAACCATGCATATTGAACAATCGACACATATAGCATGAAAAAAAGTGTCTAACGTGTATGGACCTTGCATGTTTGGGTGTCAAAGGGGAACTTTTTTGTGTCGATGTTGCAGGAGGTGCGGATGACAGCTGGCATCGACCACCACACCCTCCCCCCACTCTCCACTTTGATGTCCATGTCCTCCCGCTCGTACTTGATACTACACACAACACAAAACAACACAACTTTATTAGACAAAATGGTTAGGAGGGGCAAAATTGAGACACTTATAAACTTTTTGTTTCAGAAATGATAAATCGGAATCCTTGCCCACCCTAATGCGCGTACATCATGTTAGAATAGTTAGTATAGGGCAAAAAAAATTGCCCTATAGTTATCTAGAAGAATTTTTGCCAGTGGAATCCGAAACGAAAAAAAATGTTTATTTTTTTTGCACATTCCAAAACAGAACCTTCTTCTGCTGATTTTTTTTGTCAGTGGAATCCAGTGGTTAATACCTTAAGTTCTGGCGGGCCCGGGGCGGATTCCACAAACCCATACGCCAATGAACTACAACCCATTAAGACATCCCATTCACAATATTGCCCCATTCACAATATTGTCCCCTTCACAATATTGGTTGAATTCTTTGTTACTAACATATCCTTGTTGTTTACACCGTTTTCAAGACTGTTTTTTAACGTTAGTTTACTAAAACGTGATAAACCTTATGGAAATTGCCATTTAAAATCTACTGTTATTAACAGACAATAAAATAAATAGATGTCCTTAACTGCGGATAAATATGCATCAAAGCTTCTAAGAACAAAAAAGTTTTAAAGCTGAAAAAAGTTCGAAACGTCTGGAAAAAAAACAAATTGCCTCTAGAACAAAAAAAAATAAGTGTAAAATTTATGGAAGTTTCGAATGTTTATTCTAAAGTATCATTTTCAATAGGTTTAAATTATAATATGAGAAACTTTTTCGCATCATCCAAATTGAAAAAATATATTTTTCTGAGTTAAATTTTCTAAACATAGCCAATCGAAGATTGGAAAGGAGTAATAAACTTAAGTAAACATAAGAAAAACATTGATTTTCTTGAACAAATCTCAACTTTCGAATTCCAAAGAAAATGTTAGATGCTCTTTAAGCTCTTTGAATTTCTAGACCAATTTATGATTGGCGCCTTTTTGATAACATGAACACAACTAAAAAAACTGGATCAATAGGTAAAGTTTTTAATCAGCTGGAAAACTAAAAAATAAATGCCATTTTCGAAACTAGAAATCGTTCACGTTTTTTTGCGCCATTGTCACATTTGTATTTGAAGAGTGCTATTTACGTCACTGTCAGAAAATAAATTTCAATTGAACTCAAAAAGTGCAGAAAAATCTAGTTTATTCATAAATGCATCAATATGTATGAATACAAATCTGTAGTTATTAGAGATTTTAAGACTTTTCCTGAAAAAAAAAATTAAATCAGTAAGACCTTTATAAGAGTCTTCAATACGTTCGTTACTCTTAAAAAAATCAGGCAATTTGAATTTCATCCGATTTATCTGCCGAGAAATGTATTTCTTTTACGGTCCTCATAGAATTGCGGCGGCTGATCTAGGATTTCTCGCGAGGGGAGTGGGGTATGCCAACCTCCTAAACTTTCTTCTCCGCAGACAAACTTTCCAAACTTTCTGCGCCGCAGACAAATTTTTGAAAAATCAGGCAAAAAGGCAAGTTTGGACATTTTTTGGACGATTAGAAAAAATTAGAAAACCCGAAATAGTGCCGAAGGGGTACCCTCATGGTGGTCAGAGGATCGAATCGCTGAGAAGGGTTGCATTCCCCTCCCCTTCAATTCTGAATCCTCCTCCCGCCTAACTGTAAATTCGAGTCTAGGACTAAACCCCGAAGATATAATCCTCCAGAACAAAGTCCCCCACGATATGATTCCCCAGGATAAAATCCCCCATAGAATTAAATTCCCCTTGGACAAAATCCTCCATATTTTAACTTATCATCCAGAGAAACTAAAATAAGTAAATCTTAAGCATTTGAATTGAGTTTTCATTCAATTTTGTTTTAGTGTGACTTCCATATAAACAAGAGGCATTCATCGCCATTTTGACGTGATTTTTTGAAAACCTTGATTATCCAACTTTCATTATACAAAAGATTTTATACAAAAGAGTGCTTCTATCACCAAAAAAAACAAGCCACATTGCACAGTCAGTAAATCAAACACAAATACACAAAGTCGAGCCTTTCGGTGTGAGTTCCAATCTCAAATATGACCTTTTGAACAAAAAGTGTTGAATTTGCTTCCCTCGGTACAAAATTTCCGCGCTTCCACTGAGTGGATTGCGGGATAGTGTAAAAGGAACACCCTGGCTTCTAGAAAACCATACCCTTTTACATGTCAAAAGTTGAGATCTGTAGGACTACGGAATGATGGTTTCGAGTGAGTACTATCCTTTTGAACTTAAATCTACGGTAATTTTTGGTTAATTTATCAAACATTAACACAGGAAGAAGTCCGAGCAAAAATATTAAATTAACAGGCGTGATGCCAGTTTGCGTAGACTTAATTTAACCCCGCATTTAGCCTAATTATAATGCAGAACAATTAGGTTATTTAATCTGGAGTAACAGGGGGGACAAAAGGCCATATACAACAATTAGGCATACTATAAAAAACGAGATTTAACCAAAGCAGTCCAAGGGTAATGCGAACTAAGGAGATTAAAGCAACAATGCAAAGCCCCTTTGTGGAATCAAAAGGAGGGTATGTGAAATCGTCAACTCATGAACATACGCACGGACCCGATTACGTATTAATGGAACCATATGCAATCACAATGAACACGAAAATCAAAAAGGACGCGGCAACCTGCACAGACGCTTCTACGCAGAAATTACTTTCTTCAGCAATCGTACACACGACACCTGAAGGTTACTCGAAGATGCCCGTAGTCAACAACATCAAAAGAAGAATCAGAGGTTTTAGCCATGAAAACAGATGCCGCCTACCCATCCCAACTATTCTGGATTTTGAACTACTTGTGAAGTATATGCAGACGCTAATTGAAAAAAAAATTCTTTCGGAAGGTTCAGTGGTTCCGTGAAGCGAAAACCGGTACTTGGTTCGTGCAACGAGTAATAACATTGATGTTCTCAACAGTAATGGAAACTGGTCCATCGGCCCGGATACTTTCTACCATTCTACCAGGTCTACACAGTGCATCATTTTGTTGACCTCTGCGTTTACGCGCTTCTTCCCAAAGCGTCTAGGCACATAAAGTGCACTCTGCTTCAATCTAAAATCTGAAGTGAACGCACCAGTTTTTGTTACGATCGGTTTTTAAATGGCTTCGAGAAACTCCGCAGGGAACATTTTCCAGAAACCGAAATAAAGGGAAGCTTTTTTCTTTTTTCTCAGGCTATCTATAGAAAGATCCTTGAATTTGGTTACCCTGCTCAATATCGGGAGGACAAAGATTTCAATTCGTCCGTACGCCTCTTGACTGCGCTTGCTTTTGCAGCGCCACTTCATGGAGAGGAGTGGTACAAAATTGTTATTAAGAGCAGATCCCATAGGACATCAAAATTACTTTGAGGAAAACCGGAACGCCTCACAGAGGAAGGCCACGTTCCAGAAACATAAGTGGAAAGTATATTTCCGGACAGTTGACGACCTGCTAAGACCAATTAACACTCTTGATAGATTTCACCGCGGTTTTGAACGATGCTACAGATGTCAAACCCAGATTTCTGGAATTTCATCGAAGCCAGTCAAACACAGCAATCCTTGCAGGCCTTTACCTTTTCTCAGTTACAATTGGGAAAAAAAGTGCACGCTAGGAAAGAAGATAACTTTGGGCGTATAAAACGAATAATATTTTCAGCGGCTAATTACAAGGAGATTGACTACTTGAAAGCTATCGCTGTTATTTTGTCGTTTCAATTTAGTTCTTTTTTTGTTTTAATTATGTTTATGCTTCTACTTTTATCTTAACTCTATTTTTGGTCACCAAGTGTAATTTAGTTTTCCGAGTTCAGTTTTTCCTTAACGCTAATGTGGGGGATGTTAAAACAAATACTGGGGGATTTTGTCATAGGGGATTTGGTCCTATGGAGGATTTAGTCCTGGGGGATTATATCCGGTGGGATTTTATCCTGGGTGATTTAGTCCGTGAACGGTGTAATACAATTGGTCAGTTTTGTTTTCTCCGAGATCCGCCGAAAAATCAAAACTGCACACATACTGGCCATTATAACGGCTTTTCCGCAACCCTATAAGCCATTTATTTTGATCACGCACAGGCAATCCGCTGTTTTTCAGCATCTCAGATAAAATTTGATTTTAATTAAATTTGTCCAGAACGCAATTATGCTTCACGTTATACCATTTTTAGGGGCCAGTACTTTTGGAAAATCAAACGGATACATTTTTTGAATAGCGACAAATGAAACGGTTCAAAACAAGAGTTTGGAGGTGTGACAGAGTCGAAATTAAAAAGTGAGCCAAAAATCCTTTTCAAAACAGTAGTTTCATTCTTAAACTAAATCAAACCCGAAGTTTACCATGCAAGAAAGTTTCAAAAAGCCTAAATAATTCCAAAAACATTCAAATTCAGCGCTCTTCTCTTTCTGCTCTTGAACTTCTATTGAATACCATGTTGTTTGTCAAAAATTTTAATTTTGCGAATGTGATTATACAAAGTTGAAGAAAAGGTTTTTTGACGCTTTTCAACTATATTAACTTGGTGACGCTTTGAAGTGTTCAAGCATAAAAATTTCACCGTCAAAATAACTGAAGATGGATTTAAATGTAAGTTACTTTACTGATTATTACGCTACACTTTCATTAACATATCACTAAATGACATCTCTCCAATTATCTATACAAATATCTATCCAACGAACTATTTATAGTTGAAACCCAGGGAAGAATTGGAGAGAGATTTATCTCAAAGTGTCAAAAACTCTTTTTTGAGATGTTTCTTTTAAAAAAGGCACAACGACCTCCTCCAGAATTCCATTTCAAACAATGTAAATCCTACACAATTATTCACCAAATGGAGGGGAAGCGTGTGCCAAAAAAGAACACATTTTTGTCATTACTTTTCAAAACTCATTTTTTTGGTGTTTTGAGTGTTCGGAAAGTCAGTCTGTACGTTTTTAAATCTCTTTTCCGCTCACATTCAAAATTTTGTAGCCTGTTATTGTCCGACTTTCGAAGAAAGTGAGAAATATATATGGCTGGAATGACTTTTTAATTCAAACCACTTTAGAAAAAATTGACAGATAATTACTGATCCGGAAACTTTTGGATTGCCATGCGAGCCTGCTTAAACTGTACTTAAATGCAAATAGCATCGTTGCTCGAATAATATTTTGATACTCTGAATATGCGAATTATTTATGCGTAGCAAATTATCCGCACTCTTAATTGTTCTCAATTGATTGAGGCCAACCATAATTGGTCATATCAATTCTAATCAAATATTAGCACTTTCTTTATTAAACTAATAATTTTGAACTACTTCTATAAAATTATTAGTTTATCGAAAAATTTTGAACAAAACTGTTCGAGACCGGTTAAGGGACAGGTGAAACATTTAGGGCTTTACCCTGATATACGAACAGTCTTGCTAAGGTTTTATATTAGGAGACATCAATCGAAAGGTTGATAAACCTACTTTATGTCCCCCAAAGTTGAATAGGCTACTTTCATGGATTATCAGTAGTGATGATGATAACTATCTCTGTATAAAATTGAAACTAATATCATTGTTCCGCTAAAAAAGTGACACAAAATTAGTACTCGGTGTCTTTTGTTTCTATAGAAAATTTGCGACTTTTTAACTAAAAAATTTGGCAGCGTTTTTTACATCAGCAGAAAGTTATGTTGTGTTTAGATCAATTTTAAATAGATGTTTCACCTGTGAAATTGTTTTTGAAGTTGTCTGGGCTTAAAGATTATAAATATGTCGCATTTGGTACAATGAACGGGTAACTGGATATTTAAAACAGGTATTCTCATGATAAAGGGACCGAATCTGGAAAAGTCTTAACCAATCAGAATCAATAAACGTTCCTATTGACGAGAGGGCTTTGCACAAAAGCAAAGTAATTATTAACAGAAAATGAATTCTAGCAGCCTAGCAAAATTTTACTGTGCATTTTATGCAGATATGAATTAAATTTTTTGGGTTTTTTAAATTTTTTTAAAAATTGATTTCAGGTTTTATCCAATGTTTTATTTCAGATTTCGCAATATTTGAAAGTAATTATGTCTGCTGAATTTCCAATCAGTCAAAAATAAGTTAATGGCTTGAATTTATTCAATTTTTTTTGATTTTTTTGTAATTTTATTCCAACTTTTTAAAACTCAGTTCTGATTGGCTGAAAAAATTATTTAAAAAAAAATAATTTACAACATTCAGTCTCTCTATGTTGTCCCTCCCTCAGTATGGACGCCACAAATGAATCCGTCTATGAAATCTTTTCAACTTGAATTAAAGCATGATTTTTGGTCTATTGAAAACATTACTATACATGCAAAATATTTTCATTACATAGCGAGTGGGAGAGTAAGTTTCAATGAAAAAATTCAGAAAAAAAAGTTAAATAAATTTTTTTTTGATTTATTTGTTTGAAAATTTATTTCTTGTTGAACATTTTTAAAAGACATTGCCCCATAAAACCAGTCGGATTTTTAAGGGCTTGGCTTTGATATGTGCTTTTGTGTTATGTATAAATATTGTGCTCTATATAATGTTTCAGCACAATATAAAAACTTGATGTTGAACTTTGTTTTGTTTTTGTACCGACTTGTGAAGAAAGTGATGAAATATATGTGTTCGGGGTGGTTTTTTCTCCAGACAAAGTTCGACTTAGTAACTAGCCATTTTTCAACTGATTTTTATATCAACCGGAAGATAATGCTACATGGAGCTCAAATTTAAAAAGATGCTTCACCTGTTATTTTTTTTCGTTAAGTAATTGGGGTTTAAAAATGGCCAATTTGGTCAATTTTGGATAATTAACGCGCGATATAATTTGCGCTCTTAACGCGTAAGCGGACTTTCAACCTGTCTTAGATATCGTTCCAAATTGAATTTATGCATGCTCTTTGAACTTTTTATTGTTTGCTATATGCTAAGCATATCACTTTGTACTCTACATAGCGCGTGGGGGATTGTTTTCGCAAATAAAAACCCGAAGTTTTCTAATAGTTTCTTTTTGAAAAATTCATCAATGTTTTTAAAGCAAACACTATACCTTAAAAGACAGTCGGAACATTCACGACTTCTCTATGTTACGAGTAGTCTGGTTCAATTTTCAAACCTAAAAGTGGGGGGGGGGGGATTTTGAAAAGATCTTTTATTATTCGACGAAAAGTTTGAAAACCTGCTTCCTCGCAAAAATTGTCCTGAAAAAAATCTCTAGATGCGCCCCTGACTATACCATGTCATATTGATAGAATCGAGTGAAATTAGTTCACCTTAGATTAATCGAATCAATTTAGATAACTCGAAAACCACGGGTCTGCATTTGAGAAAACCCTTTGTTCGCCCTCAAAAAAGAGTTTTTCATTTATGTTTTTGTGATATATACTTTGCTCAAAATCGAGGAGGATTCTTGTATTATAATTATCATTTTCTCAGTTTAGTCACATTCTTTTGGTTAGGCAATAGTAGAGTATTGGTTTTATTGCATCTTTTTTGGAAAATAGTTTGTGTATGGACCTGTTGTCGATGGCGATGTCTGGCACCCATATCTCGCTGGATCTGAAGGTCATCCACTGGATGTCGTTGAGGTCTTCCGGCTCCCAAACCAGAAACTCATCGGTCCAGTACTAAATAGATCAATAGATTAAGAATATCTAATTGCTCTGAACAAGTAGCGGCGAATGTATATATCTATTTTTTTTCCCGAAAAAAAATCAAGTAGCTTTTTTGAAAATTTTTTCAAGTTTTATACTCGTTGCTTCAGTTTAGTGATACAAAATCCGAAGGATAAATTTCTTTGTGACATACTGGGTGTTAAAATCTTTAAAACTTTTTAACCAGTTTGAATTATAATCTACACAATTATAATTTTCTCGGGTGTGTTTGTGGCTACACATCTCTTCATAAACGAACTAACCAAATAATAATTTTTATTCTGGTAGATATCTGTCGGGTTGAAAACATGGTGCAACTGTGCAACTATAGTAAAATTTGTCAAATACTTCCAAAAAAAAGAAAGTTTTGTTAAATGTTCAGTCTTGTTCAAATACTTTTATAATCATACTTTTCATACATGACGTTTCTAAAATTGAGGAAAAACTTCATGTACCAATTACGTTCCTACACTAATGACGTTGAAAACTTTGATTTGACTAAGATTTCTATTTTTCTATTTTTCTAAGACACCGAAACAAATCATTTTTGAAGTTTAAATTGGTAATAATTTCTCAATGAACGAGGTATGTTTTTTGACAATACTTCAGTATTCCACCATTATAAAAGACTACTCCGCTATATCGCTATTTCAAAGACGATATAAGAGTATCAAGTATCAATTAAAGAGTGTTTTATGAACAAAATGAAAGTTGAACGAAACAAGACTGCTCGTATATCAGGGCAAAGCCTTGAATGCTCCGACTGCACAAAGGGCCAATTGAAAAGTTTTTTGATTGAATAATTGACAAAATATTTGAAAAAAAAGAAAGTTTTTTTTTGTTTCGTCATTTTATTACCAATAAGCTATGTTAAATACTAAGTGTGTTTAGCGTCTCGTTTTGTAAGTTTAAGTGCTGGCCTCAATTCAATTTGGAACGCATTAATTCGCTTCTTAAATGTCCGTAACTTTAGGAAAAATTATCACACGTGAAATATTTTTTTAAAATTGAGCTATATGTAACAATACTTCTCAGATGGCAAAAAAAATCCGTCAAAAATGTTTAATTAACAAGTCGAAAAATGACTGAATAAACAAAACCACACCAAACATAAATATTCCTCACTTATTTCAAAAGTCGGAACACAAAACGCCTTCTTCAGTTGAAGCACTCCGGGATACTAACAAAAACGTAAGGTGAGTTCTATTTTCAGCGGCTTAATTTTAACTTCAATAGAGCAAGTGAAAAGTAGAGAGAATAACACGAAAACGGAAACAAAACTGCTGTTATCAGGACGAAGCTCTGAATATTCCGACTGACTCTTAAGGTCTATGGCGCAGAAATAACACAAATTAAATAAATGTTTAAAAAAACGAAATAAATGTTTTTTAATTTGCAACTTTTTGTGAAAATCATCCCCCCACACGCCTTATAATAAACGAAAAGATAGATTTCGCTCCTAGTATCAAACAAGACTGCGCGTATATCAGGGCGAAGTCCTGAATATTCCAACTGCCCCTTAATTCATAGATTAAATCCAAAAAATATTGAAACCTATAAGTTTTGGTCAATATCAAAGTGTGAAAATTCGAGTCGTATGAAATTAATACGACCAATTAGCTAGCCCCAATTCAATTTGGAACAATATTGTTGTGCGGGATATTTCGCCACGCATAAATAGTGCGCGTTACGCTCTCAGCGCTATGATTAAATTCTTCAATACGCGCATAACTTAGTCCAGAACATTGAAAATGTGACAGTTTTCAAACCCCCAGAACTTTACAAAAAATAATCCAAGGTAAAATATCTTTTTAAATTTGAACTCAGAAAGTCAATATCTTCAATGGGGTATAAAAATTTTCTGTCAAAAACTGTTATTTCGATCGGTGGAAAATGACTGAATAAAAAAAACCACACCATAAATATTCCGTTTTGTCCGAAAGTCGAAACAATTAAATGTCCGAATACGCGTAAATAGCGCGTTAATTGTCTGAATAATAAAAACCACACCATAAATATTCCGTTTTGTCCGAAAGTCGAAACAATTAAATGTCCGAATACGCGTAAATAGCGCGTTAATTGTCCCAAATTGGCTAAAATGGCAGTCTTTAAACCCACATAACTTTACAAAAATTTATCACAAGTGAAATACCTTTTTTTTTCAAAATGAAGCTCAGGACAACAATATCTTTTGAATTGTATAAACAAAATTCCGTCAAAAATGGCTAGTTAAAAAGTCGAAATTTGTCTGAAAAAAAAACCCACCCACTTTTGGCAATCTTAAGTAGGGTACAAATTGCACAAATTGTGTTCCAATTGATTCCAACTTTACTTGATATATATTTCTTTAAACTCATATACGATCTTTAATATTTTATAGAGAATGAAAACAAGTATAATAAAAACTTTTTAAAGTCGATGTTCAAAGAACTTAAGCATTTAGATTGTTGGAAAAGTGTGGCAGAAAATCAAGTAAACAGAAGAAAAAGTTATCGAAGTTGTTCAGTCCATTTTTTACTCTTGAGGTCAATTCCTTTTTTCCTGCTCCTTGACTTTTGCTGTTAGAGCAGCTTGCTTTACTTTCAATACGGAAATTCATTTGCCGAAATTCAAGCAAATTCGTTTTTCGAGCGCTCCCACAACGTTATAAATCCTAATTTTTAAAATGTTTGCGTCGTAGAATTTGTTCAAAAAAAACATGTCAAAAATGCCAGTTTTGGGCACTTTTTGGAAAGTTTCGACCAAAAAATTGTCTTTTTATTGGCGCGCAAATTTGGTATATATTTGGCGCGCAAATTTAAATTTGGTATATATTGGAGCCGAAACGGGATGTCTCAAAAAAAACGAAAGGAATTTTTTTCTCCAATTGCACAGCTTTAACTGCAGGTTTTTTTTGTTGCCTAACTCCACAGCAGCTAATTTTTGTATGCTTTTAATAGGTCAACAAAATTCAAATCCCCCTCTTTCCTTAAATCCGTCCTGATTTCGAATATAGTATTTTAGGGATGAAAAAATCATGCAATCCTTTCGGAGAATTTTGAAGCATAGAAAAATTAGCTGCTGTGGAGCTAGACAACAAAAAAATCCTGCAGTTATAGCTGTGCAATTGGAGAAAAAAAATTCCCACCTCAATAATTAGAGTGAGCGGATTCAAAAATAATTCATTCACGTTTCCCCATTTTCTTAGTATATAATTGCTTCAAGAACACTGTGGTAAAGTTAAGTTACAAACTAAAAAGATGAGGTAAATTTATGTAAATTTAAACTAAAAAATGTCAACGAAGTAAATTGAGATTACAGTCATTCAGCCTGACAGTTTTTAAGTGAGCCATTTACTCTGAAAACTGAAAACATTCAAACCCGTTTATCTCGACATGAAACAGATTTTTTCAAAAAATTTTGTTACAGAATGTCTATCACAGTTGAAGGAGGTGTAATATGATATTGCACTTGAATTTTATGAGAGTTTTTGAGGTAGTCAAAATAAGCTGAAAAAAACCTTGCGAAATGTCCTTGAGAAATGTCATCTACTAATAACATTGCCGGGATATCATAAAAAGATAGTATTTGAATTCATTTTGGACTCAAGTTTTAAGAATACGCTAAAAATAAGAAAAATCTAACTTAGCGGTCAAAAAATTAAACAAGGAAATCTTTCGCTTAGAATGTTTTAAATGATAATCGGCCATGATAAATAAATATAATAGGTAAAAAACTGCTTTTGTCGCGTGAAATGAAACTACATGGAGTTCAAATTTTTATCAAAAAACGACTTGCAAAGAATTCAGATAAACGGCTTGCAAAGAATCAACTACTCTGAATCCAGATTTCGAATAGCTTCATTTTATATCACAACTGCCAGAAATTTGGATTTTTCAGCTTCTATTGATTGTTAACATTACATTGATTAATTTCAAAAGAGTTTATATGTTATATGGTATACATAAAAGGTTACGTTTTGGATTTGTATTCAGAATCCAAAAAAATGGGTGATTCTATTTCAGTTGTTTTGGCAGTTTCTGATTAAATGCCGAAAAGTTATATTTATTCGAGAAAATGAGCTTCACAACCTCAAAAACAAAAGTGCAGCAAAACTCTTGCATTTTCCTCTCCAAAAACCAGACCAAAATTTGAGAGCTGGTGATGATTTTTAAAACTATCTTCACTCTACCCGGTCGATGATCAAATCATGATCAGATTTTTTAAGGTCGTGCATATGCGCATGTAAACGAATAGAATAAAGCCCGTTTCTGCTATCACTAACATATTGCAGTTAATCCGATGGTGCAATTATGTGAGGCCACTGTATTAGGAAAAGAGCCCAGATGTTTCAACTAAATAAAACCAGCAGCAATCATGCCTCAAGGTCTTTTTTCAAATCAACAGCGGTCTATATCAAAGGGAACAGTCAAAAGATAAAAGCGACCTGCCCTGAATGAAAAAAAGAACGCGAACAGACATGGTATGTTGCCTGAAAGAGTTTTATACATGAGATTAGTCTTTGTGACGCACAAGTCTCTTTTCGAAAGGTCAATGAATATTAAGAATATAAACTATACTCAGCTTTGATGTACTAATGTACCACTGGATTGCTATCTAATAGAGAAATTTCAGATAGAGTAAGCCGGATGTTCGTCACGCTGGCTATTTTCGGCTGGATAGGTTCGTACAACTAGCCTAATACTGGCCATATGATAACTCTTTCTTTTCTAGGTTTCAGTACTTGTCGAAAACTGGTAGAACCGACTATTAGTGTTTGTGATCCTTTTTTTGTGTTTCTTATAAAAGCGGTCTGACTGCAAAAGATTTTACAATAAATTTTGCATTATTGCTTGAGGGTGAGGCAACATTACCCAGCCCAGAAAAATAACCAAAAAAATTGCATGTAGTTCTTAAGCAGGGGCACAACAGCGGTTCGCCGTGATGAGCTGTACAGCTCGTATGTTGGTCCTATCCCTCGTGGATAAATGATC